CCAGGGTGGAGGGGGTCTGAGGGGTAAACAGTATGGGCTTTGGAGTTTCACTGCCCAGAAGCCAGTGCTGGCTCCACCACTTACTGTATGACTTGGGCAGCTCCCTCATCCTCTCTGGACCTCATTTTCCTCATCTGTAAACTGAGTCTGTTGTGAGGATTCAATGAGATCATATGTGTGAAGATCTTAGCACTGGGTCTGGTCGTGGGAATAAATACGATCACCATTACCCTGAGACTCCCTCTGGTCCCTTGTTCTACAGGGACTCAGGAGATTCAGCACAGGCTTTTAAGTCAGCAAGAAAGAGGGAGTGTTGAGAACGGGGGAGGTGCGAGTCTTGGGGTGGGGAGCAGATGGAGGGCCGTCCTCCACTCCCCATCTGTGCTGAACGAGGGGGTGAGACACAGCTGCTGGACATCAGGGGCCACTCCCTGGCCCAGAGGGCTTGCCACACCCTCCCTGGCAGGGATGCCAGCCTGGCCACCTCACCCCCCAGGTGCCTATGGAGAGAAGCTGGTAGGGATAAAGTGGGGAGAGGAAAAGGGTACAAAGGGGAGGAAGAAAGTGAAACAAGAAAAGAGGGGTTAAGGGACCACCTCTCCTGCTCCAGAGGCCCAGGAGGAGAGGAACAACCCCCCAGCCCAGCCCAGACATTGCCTGTCCCCATCATCCAGCACGGAGCACAGTGCCACCTGAACTGCAAGGCCTGTCGGGTGCACACACACTTGTCCACGCCCCTCCAACACATGCTCATCACAGACCCACCAACCATGGAGGGCCACACTGCCGGTCACACAGGAAACTCCAGACCCTGGCCTGTCCCCAGGGCACAGACTCTCACGACTGTGGAATTTTACACACACATACACACGCATGCCACAGACCCATCCACCACAGGACACACACACACACATACATGTTACACATGCAGTGAAGCCCAGAGACATACCAGACCTTCACCTGACCACACTGCACATCTCCTTGCCCCCCACAGCAACCTGACACCCACGCTCCTCAGACTCCACAGGGAGAGACCCACCCACAAAAGGACTTGCTCACATGCACACACCTAGACCACTGGGTGACAACCCAAACCAAGCACCCACTCACCCCTCACCTGACTACAGGGCACACAGGTTCCACCCAAGGTGGAGGGCACACACACCCACACAGCACACACAAACAAGCAGGCTACATTCACCCAAACGCACATACAGCCCCACTCACCACCCTATCACCCCACACATCACTCAGGGCCCCAGGTCCTGCAGACCTTCCTGGTTAGGGCTGAGGAGGGGCCAGCGGGGTCGCAGCCAGCAGAATGGGCCCTCGGTCCTCACCTCCAGGACAAGGAGAAGGGGTACCCAGGCACCACCCGTCTTCTTCCCCTCCTCCCCTCCAGGCCCTGAGACTGCTGCTGCATTGCAGGCACTGCCCGAACACCTCGTGAGCCGCTGGGCCGGGCTGGGGACCTGACCCCGCGGCCCTGGAGGTGGGGGCAGCATCCCCCGCCGCGCTGCGGCACGGGGACGTGTGGGGGCCAGGCGCTGACGTCACAGGACGGGCGAGACTGGATGAGGGGGTGCCAGGGGCGGAAGTCGCCCCCCACATAGCTGCCCAGCCGCCCCACCCCTACCCCCAACGCGGGACCCTGGGCCCAGGGACCCCTGGCAGGACGCAGGTTATCCCAATGACGTCATTGGCCATAGGGGCTCTGGGACTTCCCTCCTCAGCCCCTCTCCTGGAATCGCCTTCTGCACTGGTCCCCCTCACGCCGCCCCAGGCCCGGCTCCGGACCCCCACCAGCGCCAGGTACCTCTTCCCGCAGGGGCTCGCCGTCCGGGATGAGCGCGGGCACCTCCCCGCCGTCGCCAGCGCCGTCCTCGGGCATGGTGTCCCGGCTGCTTGGGCGGCCCCAGCCCGGGCACCGGGCATGATAAAGGGGAGCGCGGAGGGCTGCGGCGCGGCCCCCGGGGGCGTCCGCTCGGCTCGGCGGCCGCGGAGGGAGTGCGCGGAGCTCGAGCCCGAGCGCAGCGGCGGCAGCGGCGTTGGCGGCCTGGGTGCCCGGCGCCCCGCCCTCCGTTGACCCCGCCCCCGCGGCACCGGCGGCGCCGCCGGCAGCGCCTGGCACCGCGGACGCTCCGCCTGCCCCCGAGAAGCCCCGCTAGGCGGCTGGACCCCTGGGTTCTCCTCCAGCCGGGCTCGCGCTCGCGACCTTGAGCTGTCTAACCCTCTGTCGCCTGTGCTTCCCGGACTGTAAAACGAAGAAGGAGAATCTCCAAGGTGGGTGGGCGCCCGCGGGGTCCCATCTCTAAGGAGTAGGCCCAGAGCTAAGCCCACCCAGACCCCATCCCCGAAGCCTCACTTGTTGGGGAAGGGGGCAGTAACAACTGAGAAAGACGTGATGAGTCTCACTGGCTGGGAAGGGGTGCTGGGCTCAGCTTAGGGCAGGCAGAATAGGGCCAAGATACAAGGGACCCTAGGTTTCATGACCTTGGGCCAGAAGGCTCCACTCCCAACCTCAGTTTTCCCATCTGAGAAATGGGGATAAAGGTCGGACTGAGTGGCTCACGCCTGTAATCCCAGCACTTTGGGAGACCAAGGTGGGAGGATCGCTGGAGCCCAGGAGTTCCAGCAGCCTTGGAAACATAGTAAAACCCTGCCTCTACAAAAAAATTTAAAATGAGCTGGGCTGTGCACCTGTATTCCCAGCTACTTGGGAGTTAAGACAGGAAGATCAGTTGAGTCTGGGAGTTAGAGGCTGCAGTGAGCTGTGTTTACACCACTGTGATCCAGTCTGTGTGACAGAGTCAGACCCTGCCTCAAAAGAAGAAAGAAGAAGATGAGGAGGAGGAAGAAGAGAGAAAAAAAGAAAGAAAAAGAAAAGACATAAAGGTTTTGGATTCAGTTTACAAGCATCCATCATGCCCTATGTTTCAGCCTGTGTGACAGAGTAAGACCCTGTCTGGAAGGAGGAGGAGGAATGAAGAGGAACAGGTGGAGGAGGAGGGAGAGAGAGAGAGAGAGAGAGAGAGAGAGAGAGAGAGAGAGAGAGAGAGAGAGAGAGAGAGAGAGGAGAGAGGAGAGAAAGAAAGAAAGAAAAAGAAAGAGGAAGGAAGGGAGGGAGAAGGAAAAGAGAGAGAAAAAAGAAAGAGAATGAAAGAAAAAGAGAAAGAAAGAAAAAGACATAGAAAGGTTTTGGATTCAGTTCACACGCATTCATCGTGCCTTGGATGACCCCCTCCCAGGTACACGTGGCCCTAGTACTACTTCCTGGCCCTCCAGGGCCTCAGATCTTCATACCTGTGCCTGGGTCTGGCTTTGCTCCCAAACTAGACCATCTGGGTCGAAAATGAGCTGCAATACTGGTGGGTTAATTCGTTTTGTATGTGCGTGTGTTCCGGCAAAGAGCAACTCAAAAACCATTTAATTAAACACCCCACCGGGTGCGGTGTCTCACACCTGTAATCTCAGCACTTTGGGAGGTTGAGGAGCGCGGATCACGAGGTCAGGAGTTTGAGCCTGGCCAACATGGTGAAACCCTGTCTCTATTAAAATACAAAATTAGCTGGTCGTGGTGGCAGGCTCCTATAATCCCAGCTACTCAGGAGGCTGACGCAGGAGAATCGTTTGAACCTGGGAGGTGAAGGTTGAGTGAACTGAGGTCATACCATTGCACTCCAGCCTTGGGGAAAGGGCGACTCCACCTCAAAAAAAAAAAAAAAAAAAAAAAAAAAAAGGCTGGCGCGGTGGCTGACGCCTGTAATGCCATCACTTTGGGAGGCCGAGGTGGGCAGATCACGCGGTCAAGAGATGGAGACCATCCTGGCCAACATGGTGAAACTCCGTCTCTACTAAAATACAAAAATTAGCTGGGCATGGTGACGCATGCCTGTAGTCCCAGCTACTTGGGAGCAGTAAGGTCATCTGGTGTAACTAGACACCTGGTAGCTAATTAGAGAGGTCGCAGAGGACCTGATCGTGCTTTCTAGAAAGCGGTGGCTGAAGGTCTGTGAGAGGGATACCTCCGAAGACTGTCTCCAGGGTTGGTGGGAGTGGACAGAACCTGGGTGGAGAGAAAGGAACTCCTGGGACTACAAGTGAGGCTTGGGGGCCTCACTTCGAGAAGACCACAGGCCCGGTGATGACTCAGGAGTTTCGGCTGCAGCTTCGGGAGGCGGATCAGGACACCTCTGCCCCCAAATCTGCTGGACTTTAGGAGAGTCTATGGGCATGTCCTGGGCAGGGTCCTGCCCCACCTCTACCACCCAATCTCTGGGACTTCGGATCCTCTGGGAAGAATGCGTGTATGTGTGCGTGTGGCCAGGCGCTTGCTAGGAGTGTGTGGTTCGAGACCCCAAATCCTCCCATCAGCAGGCCCCCGAAAGTCTACAGGATGGCGGCAGAGGCGGGAGGGCATTTTCAGCACCGGAGGACGGACAGCACCCACGCGGAGAAGAGGAGTGGTAGATGGGAGGAGGAGTCAGCATCCTGGGGCTTGCTGGGCCGCTCTGTCCCTGATAGGTCCAGCCTCCCATCACCACCTCCGGAGCTGCAGGGGCTCCGTTCCAGGACTGGGTGAAGTGTGGGGGACAGAGGAGGAAAACATGCCCAGAGAGGGAGGGACAGGGGCCTCGAAGGGCAGGGCTTGGTCGAAACTGGACGGCCCTATTCCCTCCTGGAGTACGTCCCACTAGGGAAGCTTCGTTCCTGACTCCGGCCGCAAGTCTCCTCTCTTCTCCCTGGTGTAGTCGTGGCAGTGTGCGTCAAGTGCCTCACCGCGCAGGCGCGGAAATAATTCTCGCCCACCTTCTCCCTTAACCCTTCTATTGGGTGTTCCCACCCTGAACTGGCAAGCGCGTTATCCAATCCCAGGTACCAGAAGTCTCTCCGCCTGCCCCCCCAACCCGGATGTTACCTTCTGCCGAATCCGCTCAGTCCAGAGCCCGTCAGTAGCCAATTGGGAGAGGGGAGAGGCGAGCCGGCGCCACCGTTGAGCCAATGACAGGCGCGGGGCGATGACGCCACGCGGTCGCGACCGGCGGGGCGGGGGACGTGTAGCGCGGCCCGGTGGCCTCGGTCGGTACCCCGGGCGCGTAGCAGCTGCTTTATTAGTATTCGCACCCACGAGGCGGCGCAGCGGGCCCTTGGGGAGAGCGAGCGTCGCTGCCATGGCTTATCACTCGGGCTACGGAGCCCACGGTGCGTGGGGCGCGGGCGGGCGGGGCGCCGCGCGGCCGGTGCGGGGAGAGTCGGCGGCGCGGCCCGCTCACCCCGAGGGATATAGCAAGTGGGACCTCTGCCCAGGGCGGGGGTGTCACTCGGGTTCCTGCCCCTCGCGACGCTGCCACGCGTCCCGGACTTCGCCCTCTCGGCCCAGACCTGAGACCGGGCTGTGGTAGCACAGCTGGGAGTCCCATGCCGGAATCGGGGGCAAACGGAGTCCGTCTCCGCCTCCAGAAACTGCTTTGACTGTTGTAAGCCTGGCGGGATCCCTGAGCACTGTCCAGGGATTCTGGGTAGCCAGCTGTCGCCTCTCCCCGCTTTGTTCACGCTAGGATGCCTTCCCAGTTATTTTCACCTGGCAAACTTCTACTCACTGTGTCTCAGTTCAGAGGTCACTTTCCTTGAGAGGCCTCTAGAAACCCCAATGGACAACCACTGCCTCAGCTCTTCCTTTACCTACATTTAGCAACGTATTTCTCGCGAAGGATCCCTCATCAAAATTCTTTCTCAGTTAGCTCCCCCTCACCCAGCTTGGGGTCCCCTCACTGATTGTGCCTGCAAGACCCGTGCAGGGCCGTCCAGCCAGGGAGGGGGCCGTGGTTTGGGCTCATGCTTGGTATTTCTGTCACCTACTCTGATCTCTCCAAACCCACAGGCTCCAAGCACAGGGCCCGGGTAGCTCCGGATCCCCCTCCCCTCTTCGAGGACACAAGCGGTGGTTATTCCAGCCAGCCCGGGGGATACCCAGCCCCAGGAGCAGACGTGGCCTTCAGTGTCAACCACTTGCTTGGGGACCCAATGGCCAATGTGGCTATGGCCTATGGCAGCTCCATTGCATCCCATGGGAAGGACATGGTGCACAAGGAGGTGTGGCCTGCCCCCAGGGCACGGGTGGCAGAATTTTTGGCTAGGGCTGGGCATCTCCGGATTCCACCCGATTCCTCACAGTGCTCTCAGGGAAGGAGCACGCAGAGGGGCACCCTGTGGCCTGGAATGCAGCTTGCCCACAGCCTCCTCTCTCCCCTCCCAGCTGCACCGTTTTGTGTCTGTGAACAAACTGAAGTATTTTTTTGCTGTGGACTCAGCCTATGTGGCCAAGAAGCTAGGGCTGCTGGTCTTCCCCTACACACACCAGGTGAGCTTCCTACCAAAGGAACTGGTGGGCCTTCCTCATCCTGCCCCGGTGTGCCCTCCAGACCTCAACCCCCTTCTCTCTTTTCTCTTCTTCCCCTCCTGATGTGGCTGCTGCTGCCACTGCCAGAACTGGGAAGTGCAGTACAGTCGTGATGTGCCTCTTCCCCCCCGGCAAGACCTCAACGCCCCTGACCTCTATATCCCCAGTGAGTCTCTGACCTGGGCCGGGGAACGTGGCGGGGACTTGTGCCTTGAGGGATGAATGGGAAGAATGGGATGAATGGTGCTACCGAGTCAGCACCTGCTCTTGGTGCTGTATGTGTGGCAGCTGCAAGACACCAGGGAGGTAGTGCAGGGTGACCTGTACCGAGGTTCCCGGATGTGCCTTCAGTGTCTCCAGGACACCCTTTTGAGATCTTCCTGTCTCTTGATTTGGACTATGTCCCTCCACAGCCTGGAGCTCTGGGTTTAAGCCTGGCTTTGCAGCTTCCAGCTGTCGGACTTCGGGCTGGTTATTAGTAAAACAGGACTAATATAGTCCCTACCCCAAAGGGTTGTGGGAGAGATTCAGTGAGGTGATACTGGCTCTACACCTCACCTGGCACACAGGAAGGACATAGGAAATGAAGGACATTATTATTACTTGTCCTCCAAGGCGTGCTGTCATCCCTTCGTGGTGGCTCCCTTCTGGGTTCCCACAGCTGCCTGTCTACATGGCATTTTTCAGGCTGCCCACATTTGCAGCTGACTCTTTTCTGTCCTGTTGGCTGCACAGGGTTAGGACCATTGTAGACGCTCACGGGGAATGAGTGTGCGGGGGCCAGCCCAGAGGAGCTTCCAGTGAGGGCAGCCAGTGGGACTGAGGGCAGGCAGCCAGCCTCGGTGTGCTGGGCAGGGTTCTTCCCTCCTTCATCCTGTTTACCTGTCGCAGCCACCATTTAAGGCATCCCTGTTTTACATGTTGAAGCCAAGCCTCAGAGGAACTCAGTATCGTTGAGGCCTTAGAGTTGACAGGTGGCAGAGCTGATTTTCTGACTCTAGACACTCCCCTCTGGGGGTCACATCAGTGCTTTTTTTTTCCCCCTCCTTTTGAGACAGGATCTCACTCTGTCACCAGACTTGAGTACAGTGGTGTGATTTTGGCTCACTCACTGCAACCTCTGCCTCAGGCTCAGACAGCACTTCCCGCCTCAGCCTCCTGAGTAGCTGGGACTACAGGCTGTGGGTGCACGCCACCACGCCCAGCTAATTTTCGTATTTTTAGTAGAGACAGGGTTTTGCCATGTTGCCCAGCTGGTCTTCAGCTCCTGGGCTCAAGTAATCTGCCTGCGTTGGCCTCCCAAAGTGCTGGGGTTATAGGTGTGAGCCACTGTGCCCAGCCAGTTCTAGTGCTGCTTTAAGTGGGGCAGAGGACAGAACTGAGCTGGAACTGCTGCTGAAGCCCGGCTCTCACTGGCTCTGAGCTTTTGTGCGTACTGCTCCAAGTTAAACCTGGGGTTCCCTGCATTGCTGGGCAGCCAGAGCCCCAGCCCCAGCCAGTGCCGAGGGCCAGACTTAGAATTGCTGACTAAGGTGAGATCACTTCCATGGCCCCGGACTCTAGGGACAGCATGGGTGTCCACTGAACCTGCATTCTGTTCTTGTCAGAAATCAGTTTGGTCCCTGTCTGGGCGGAACAATGGCCTTGGCCTGTGATCCGGTTTCTGAGATGCAGCAGAAACCGATGAGCTTTCCAACACAGGGGCAGGAAAGGAGGTGGCTTGTGGTCCTGGAAGAGTCAGGTGGATTTACACGGCGGGAGAGGCGGCTGGGAAACAGGCATCCCAGGCAGGGCATTTGGGAGCAGAGTGTGGAGGTCAGGCCGTGCTGGGCTGTGCAGGGAAGGAAGTATGGGGCAAAGATGGGTGTGCCAGCAGCCCCGAATGCCTAGTAGGGCAGCTCTGGTTGAGGAAGCCAGGCTGATGGCATCCCTGTGGCACTTGGCAGCGATGGCCTTCATCACCTACGTGCTCCTGGCTGGGATGGCACTGGGCATTCAGAAAAGGTCAGTGTCAACCCCCTCCCTCACCCTCCCCTCCCTGTGAGCTTCTCCCCACCTCCCTAGGGCATATGTGGTGGTTCCCGCCCACCCTTTGTTGCCCCAGCCTCTCACCCTCACCCCTGCCTCAGGATGCCTGGCTCTGAGATGCCCCTCCTTCGGCACAGGTTCTCCCCGGAGGTGCTGGGCCTGTGTGCAAGCACAGCACTGGTGTGGGTGGTGTTGGAGGTGCTGGCCCTGCTCCTGGGCCTCTACCTGGCCACCGTGCGCAGTGACCTGAGCACCTTTCACCTGCTGGCCTACAGTGGCTACAAATATGTGGGGTGAGCACCTGTGGGCCAAGGGGAGGTGGCCTTGGGTCTGGGCCTGTATAGCTGTAGCCTTGAACCATGACCCTGGTCATGTTTCGGTCCCTGGTAACCTCTAGCACTGCTCTGTTAACGGGGACCAGCTGTCTCCAGCAGTCTCCTGAAGACCCGAGTGCCATGCAGAGGTTGGGGAGGTGTTGAGAGTCACCCTGCAAGAGTCATGGGGAAAGGAAGGGGTCTCAGATCCAGGTCCTGGGGCTGAGTCCTGGGCCTTCCACATCTCTTTTGGGTCTGGGTTCCTGTGGGGACAGATTGAGAGTAAAAGGTGCTGGTGGGAGGTGGGGTCTAGCTGGGCTCTGGTTGTTGGGGGTAGGGCCAATCCCAGGCCTGGACCCCTGGGGGTCAGCAGCACTCTCCTCCTTCCACCCCAGAATGATCCTCAGTGTGCTCACAGGGCTGCTGTTTGGCAGCGATGGCTACTACGTGGCGCTGGCCTGGACCTCGTCGGCGCTCATGTACTTCATTGTGAGTCTGGTGCATCCCCCATCCCCTGCCTTCACTTGGGGGCAAACCTCCTCCTCCTGCCTAGGCTTCAGCTCTCCTTTCCTCCAGGTGCGCTCTTTTCGGACAGCAGCCCTGGGCCCCGACAGTGTGGGGGGCCCTGTCCCCCGGCAGCATCTCCAGCTCTACCTGACTCTGGGAGCTGCAGCCTTCCAGCCCCTCATCATATACTGGCTGACCTTCCACCTGGTCCGGTGACCCCTGGCTCCACATGGCACTGAGTTTTTCATTCATTGAAGATTTGATTTCCTTGACTTTGTCTGACCCTTGTTCCTGGGGCCTGATGGGGAGGTACATACCTCTGGGCCTCTGCATTGCCCAAGGGGCTGGGCTTGGGGCTGTCTAGAAAGAAGGTGGACCCAGGGAGGGCTTCATGACTTTGGTGACCTTGCTACTTTCAGCAGCCTCAGATGGGAAAGAGAAGATGGAAGGAGGCTGCTGAGGGAACCCAGAAGGCCTCTGATCCCCCTGGGCAGTGGGCGGGGAGGGCTTCAGCAGGGTCTGTGAGCTAGTAGGATGAGATGAGCCAGGCTGAGGATTCAGCTTAGGGCTGTCCCCTATACAGTCCCCTGAACCAGCCCCCATCTCCTCTTCAAGCTTTCCAGGAACAGAACTGGGGCCCATATATTTGCAGTAGTTTATTCATGTTTTGTCACAAATGGCCGGGGAGGGGGTGCCGGACTCCTCCAGGCGACATAGAAAATAGGTCCAAGAGACAAGGTGGGCTGAGTTTGGGGCAAATGGAGACAGGGCTGGAGAAAGAGCCTGGGGGAGAGGGGAGGGCAGACTAGGGGTGGGGCTGCCCCCCTGCTGAGCCTGCTCATTCCTGGTGTGGGTACCCCCCCACCTGCAGGGGGAGCCTCAGGGTGGGGGTGGAGGGGGGTGGCCCAGAATTTCCAGGGTCAAGCTCTGCCCCTTGGCAGGGCCCAAGTTTACCCCGAAATGGACAAGGCTGGAGGTCCTGCCCCTTCCAGGACTGACTGCCATGCCCACAGGCTGGCAGGGGAGCCCCTGCCCCTAGAGCTCTGCCCAGCCGCTCTAGTCCAAGGGGGAGGGCTCTGAAGGCGGGGGGGGGGGCCCGCAGCAGCAGTTTGGGGTGTGGAGAGGCTGGGGGCACCAGTGCCCCCTCCCTCCCCAGGGCTGAGGCCTCTGCGGCCAAGGGGCAGGGCTGGGGGTGCACAGGCGTCCGGTCCGTTCTGGGCTTACTCCCTGGCCGGCTTCCCCCTTAGAAACTCACCAATGTATAAACCATACTGTGGGAAGATGAATCAGTGAGCCTAGTGTGTGTGGCTGCACACACACAGCCACCCAGCTGCCCACCTGGCCCCACCCTGGGCTGCCCTCAGCCCTCAAGGGCAAAGGGCAGGAATTTGGGGTTGGAAGCATGATGCCAGGACATCCCTGAGTTCCGACTACAGTGGGCAGGGCCTCACCTGTACAGGTAATAGAAGAAGGAGAGCAGGTAGAAGGCAAGTTTGCACCAGGACTCCTTCTGGCAGTAGTTGAGGATGTCAGCATTCATGATGGAGACCGCATCATACATGACCTCGGAGCCATCTGCAGGACGGTGGAAGTACCTGGGGCAGACAGGGGCTTGAGTCTGCTATCAGGGCTCCCACCCCCATCCTGCCCCTGTTCTCCGTCTCAGCCTCCCCAAGGCAGCTGCTACCCTCACCTCCAGAGGTGGTAGAAGAGGAGGGGGATGTTGAGGCCCAGGGTCACCCACTCTGCTGCACACAGAAACATCAGACAGAAGAGGCCGTGGATGGAGTATTCTGGGACCACCAGCTGGGGGATTGAGGGTGAGAGGTCAGCCTCTTGGCGCTAGGACAGACCCAAGCTTCAAGGGCACAGAGAGGAGCTGGGGTTTGGAGGTGCCCACCCACCGTGACCTCTGGGGACTAAAAGGCTTTTGGCTTCCCACTCCCTCCCAAGTAGCAGAGTGGATCAGACAGGCCCAAAGAGGAGGAAGGCCTGCTTCTGGGCCACAGTGGGGGCAGCGCTGCGCTAGGAGCCTCTTGCCCCTAGCCCTGACACTGACCTTTCTCAGGAGGCAGCAGATGCGTTCGATGTTTTTTAAACGCTCGCGCTGTTGGGGGAAGGAAAAGGCCGCGATGGGGGAGGCAGAGAAGCAGGTACTGGAGCGGCTCCCACCGCCCTGCATGTGGCCGCCAGGGGGCGCCAGAACGGTCTCTGCGGCACAGTCGGCGCGGCCGGGAAGCAGCCGCGCCGTCCCCATGGCGACCGTCACCATGGAGGGGCCTTCACCCGCGTCTCCATGGCAACGGCCCAGAGCCTGGCAACAGCCGCCCCGCCAGGAGGAACTCAGCCCTGAGCCCGCGCCAGGTGTTGCTGGGGGCGGAGACAGAGAGGAAGGGGCAAGGCGGTCGGCTCCCCCACCCCACCCCACCCCCATCTGCCCGTCTCCCACCCCCAGCCCAGACAGATGGAAAGACAGACGGACGGACACACCTCGGCACAGCACATGTATCACTTACTGCCCGCGCAGGGTTCCCCTGGTCGATGGGGTTCTTGAAGTCGGTCCGCAGCTCGTCAAAGGCTATGATCTGGGGAGACGGCGGGTGCCCGTCAGGGTTGGGGCTGCAGTTTATGGCATCCCCCCAAGTCCTTCCGTGGGATGGGAGTTTACACAAGAGGACCGGGCCAGGTGGAGCTTGTTGCAAAGGTGGAGAAACAAGGCCCAGGGAGGGGCAGGGCCTGGTCCAAGGTCATCACAACAGTCTAGAGGGAACCCTAGCATCTGCATGCACAGTTCAGGTCCATGTCCACTACACCCACTTCCAAAACATCCCAAGACATGGCCTCGTGTCTACCTTGCCGGGTCTGGCCCTGTGCTGAGCACTGGAGCTCCAGAGGCTGGGGACACAGCCCCTGCCCAGGAGGAACCCAGGCCCAGAGGGATGACTACATTCCAGGTGATCAGGGTTTGGGGTAGAGGGAGGACCAGGAGTGGGCGCTTAACTCTGTGTGCAGGGTGATGGAATGCAGGCTCGACTAGGAGTAGGTGTTGGTGAGCAAAAGGGGGCAGTGCAGTCCAAGCAGCAGAAGGTACAATGGCAGAAGGGTGAGACATTCAGGAGGCTTCAGGTTTCATGGGGCTGGCAGGACAGTGCCATGGTGGAAGAGGAGCTGGAAAGTCCAGCAGAGTCAGACATGGGCACCCTGTGAGGCCAGACCAGGAGTGTGGACTTTAACAAAAAAATATAGGGGGCACATTGAAGGGAACACAGCAGCACAGTGGGGTGGTCACGTCCATGTCTTAGGATTGGTCCATGTCTCAGGATTAGTGGGGCAGGGAATCCAAGCTTGCTAACAGCCACAGCTGAGATCTCAGTGGTGCTTCTGCTGGCAGGTATGTGGATTAACTCATTTAATGCTTGTGACAACCTAATAATGACTTAGGTACTAGTTTTATTTTCATGTTTTGCAGATGAGGAAGCTGAGATAGGTTAAGTGACTTTTCCAAGGCCACATGGCTGGTTAGTGGCAAACCAGGATTCTAACCCAGTGTAACTCCAGAGTTAAAATTCCTAACCACTGTGTCATACTCAGGCCAGACCCTCAAGAAGACAGTTTGGAGGGTTGGGAGCAGGGCTGGCGGTGGTCTGAGTAAGTAGAGTTGTAGTGGAGACGGAAGGTATGCATGGGATTATACAGCTCTTTTGGAGCCCGACTCCAGAGGGTTCGAATGGCCGTGAAGCGAAGGGAGAAGCCTAAGGTGCCTTCAGGTGTTGGGAGTGTCTGGCAGATGGTAGTGTCATTACAGGTGGAAACTCTCCAGGGGAGCAAGTGTTTGATGAGATGATGGGATGGGCCTGGGAGGAGCTGACAGGTGACTTGGGGAAAATGGGCTGACAAGAGGAGCCTGCTGGGGTCCCCTCCCATCAGCTCCAGCCCTAGGATGAAACAGCAGGCCCACCACCCCCAGGCATCCCAGGCCCCAGACGGCACAGAGAGAAAGAACATGGGCTTCCTGGAGGGAGCTGGGGCCATCTGGACCACCCCACCCCAGCTCCCCATTGACTCTGGGCAGCCGCCACTTGGCACACACAGCAACAGGGTCCACAGGGAGCAGAAGGGTGCTGTCTGTGCCCCAGAGCTGGCACCACCAGCAGGCAGCAGGCGTCGCGCCTCCCACCCCCCCCCCAGACTGCCTGGCGCTGACTCAGCCCCCCGAACAAACAATCCCCCACGGTGACAGCTGACACACGTCACTCACTACCAGGGTTGCCTAGCAACCACTGGGGCCTGGGCTGAGGGTCTGGAGTGGGATCTGGGGTCCTGCCCTGTAAGATTCTAGTTCTTAGCAGCTGCGGACAGAGGACCACACCTCCTATCCCCTACACCCAGCCGGCCGCACTAGGCATCTGATGTGCACGGGTCCACTTTGCCAGCAAGGAACCAGACTTGGGACAAATGTCTTGCTAAGATCGTCCAGCTAAATGGTTGTGTGGACACAGTGCCTCACACAAGCGCTCAATCAATATCTGTTGAATGAACAAAGACATTTCTTCAAAGCTTGGGCCTTTCAACCCAGCCTGGGCACTGCACAAGGGCAAGGCCTGGGTTTCATTCCTCCTTGAACTCCTCAAAGCCACCCAGAGGCTCATCTTTGGGAAGCATCAATGTAGGTGTGGTGGATGGAAAACTGCTGAGAATCCCCTGCGGACAGGGACACCACAGGGGCTATGGGAAGCCCCCAAAAAGGGGCTCCTTGAATTTCAGAAGCCCTCCCAGAGCTGGTCAACTGTGGCCCCCAGCTCCCTCCAGTTCTTAGAACCCTAGCCCTCCTGCCTCCACCCCACAGAAAGAAAAATAGAGTAACTCAGGGTGGTGGGGGAGGGAGGAAAGACAAAGCAACCAAGACCCAGAGAGAGGGCAGAGCCGGGCCATGGAGTGACAGGGCTGAAGCTAGGGTACGTGCAGAGGTGCCTGTGCGGGCTCACTCCTCATGCAGTAGGGGTTCGGTCAGTACATGGAATCCCGATGTCAAATAGCAAGGCGGCAGGGGATGGCAAAGAGAAAGCAGAGGGAACCATGGAGCAAGGCGGCAGGTCCCAGGAAGAGAAAGGAGAGAGGAAGTGGGGAGCCTGGGAAAGAAGCAGGTGAGGCACCAGGAAGAAAGAGAGAAGAGCTAAGGGAAATGAGATGGAGGGGTAAGAGGACCCCCGAAAAGGAATGACAGTCAGGGAGGTGTGCGCGGGAGGTGTGAGCAGAGGATGCCGATCTGAGCTGGCCTGGGCCGAGCTGGGCAGGATATTACAGAGAGAGGCACAGGGTTTGGGTGGGGGTGGGGAGGGAGGGCAGTAAAGTGGGCCCAGGGGCCCCCAATGCTGAGCTGGAGGCTGATGGATAGTTCAGTAGTGAGGGGAAAGGAGCCAGGCAGAGGAGGCCCTGGAGGAGAGCCAGGGAGAAGGGGAGGCAGAGGGAGCCTGGGAGAAGTGATGGGTCGGATGCAGGATGAGGAATGGACATTTTGAAGAACCAGGTGTGGCTAGGCCAGAGTGAGGGACAGACCAAGGGGAATGTGAGACAAAAGGGAAGCGGGGCAGGAAGAGGAGGGAAGCTGGAAAATGGAGAGGAAACCTGGGAGGCTGGGAAGCCCCCAACAGGAGGGGTAGGGAAACCCAAGGTGAGCCGGTGGTGAGGGCTAGGTCTCTGGGAGCTTATGAGAGCCAACTGCTGCTTGGTCAGGAAGGGGGCTGGGAAGGCAAAGGGTTAATGGGCTCTGAGATCTGCGGGTCCTGTAAACAGATGCAGTTGCCATAGCAACCGGCTCCATCACGCTGGCTGGAAAAACCCACAAGGGGGGGGCAGCAGACAGACAAACTGCCCGACGGACTAATGGAGGCGGCTGGATGGTAGGGGGGTGTACATAGAAGATAAAGGATCAAAAATTCCTGAATTCCACCCCCACCCCACGGGCTGCATGGGGCAGAGGAGGGGGTTAGAGGAGGGGGTCAGGGACCGACTGACACACACACACAGACAGGCGGGGGCGGCGGAGGAAGGGGGGGCCCCAGGAAGAAAGCCGACCATCGGGGGTGTTAATGGGGGCGAAGCCGACCAGCCGATGGTTGGGGGATAGCAAAGAGGGGGCGCCAAGTTTCCCCGGGGCTCTGATACCACCCGCCTTGGGCCCCTCCCGCTCCGCGTGCCCCCTGCCCCCTACCCCGCCCCCAGCCCCATCCCGGCCTTACGTGCCAGATGACAAAGAAGATGAGGGAGGCGCACAGCACCAGGGTGAGCATGTAGCAGAACGCGGCGAAGGTGAACGCCATGGCCCCCGCGCCGGGCGGCGGCCCGGGGGGCGCCAGCGCGGGGCCCGGGCGCAAGGGGACGCCCCCCGGCCCGCGCTTAGGGCCGGCAGGGCATGGCCCGTGGGGCTCGGGGGAAGCGGGCGACGCGGCCGGGACCGGGGCCGCGGGGCCGTGGGGGACGCGGGGCGCGGGCCGGTGGACTCGGGGGGCGCGTCCGCTGCCGGCTGCCCGGGCCCAGATCGCTCATCCTGCGATCCCTCGCCCGCGGCTCCCTCGCTCTCCAGCCCGCGAAGCCGGCGGGGCGGAGCTGGGGGCGGGGCCGCCGCGCGAGCGGCCTCGGGCGGGGCTGGGTCTCCGCGCGCCCCCCGTCGGCCCGCGCGCCACCCCCAGCCCCGACGAGCCAGCGGTCGTCCACTCTCTGGACCGCGTAGACGCAGCCGCTACCCGACACCCCGCCCGCGTCGGCACTCCAGCCACCGGCACTGCCGCACTGGGCCCCCCTTTGGGCGGGCGCTCAGAGCAAAAGGCTGAAGTGCAAGGCACTTGTCACTGTCGGAGGCAGTGGGCACAAGCTCCTGGCCGGGACCCACAGAGAAGCCAGGACAGGGGCTGAATGGGTGCAGCGGCGTTTGGGGGGGACCCTGAAGGAGGTCGGGTCAGGTGCAGTGGGGGCCCCCTCGATGGCCGCCCGACCCCACACCTCAGCTGTGTGCCCCGCGGGAGTTGGCGGCTGCTCGCCAGGTATGCGCTGATGGCCACCCGCCTCTTTCCCTGACAGAACGGTGCTGGGCCCTTGGGGACAGACCACAGAACAAGCAGCTCTCCTGGGCTCAGGAAACGGGGTCAAGGGCTTTAACCAGCAGGCTTAGGAGGCAGAAACCAAGCCAGGACCCCCATGCATCCCCCACGCTAAAGCTGGGCTTACACCACAGACCACACTCAGCCACCACAACTTCCTTGCAAAAACCCTCAGCTCACCCGAGGGCCAATGGAAATTTATTGATTTTTTTTTTTTGTCCTTTTCCATCTTTCCCCAAGTGGCTTTTCCTTGCAAAATGCCTGACAGGACACCAGAGGGGAACCTGGGAGCAGGGGGCACCCCGAGGGGCAGCCCAGGGACTTAAATACAAGCTGGAGGGTAGGGCACAGGTGGGACAGGCAAGACAGCATGAGGGGCATGGCTTCTCAGGGAGACCAAAAACTTGCTTTCCTGCAGGAAGCAGCTGGGCCAGAGGACAGGGGATAGGATCCTGGGTACAGAGGGGGTGAGCAGAGAGGCCCCCAAACCCTGGGTGGAACCCACATTCCCCAGAGGATAAGTAGCGGCAGGGGTTGAGGGCCTGCCCTGGCAGGCTCCAGGGACAGAGGGGAAAGTGAGCCAGATGTGCTGTCTCGGGGAAAGGGAGGTGCTGGCAGAGTGAGGGTTAAGGCTGGTGCCCAGCCTCTGGCTCGGTGGGCCTTCCGCCTCTGCCTGAAGTGGGGACAAAGGGGCACAGTGGGCAGGCCTGGCTCTGGCAGGGCAGAGGGTGGCAGGAGCAGACTCCCTCCGGGCTCAAGACACAGGCCCAGCACCACTACCCACCCACCAGCCCTAGATGTACTCAGACCCCACCACAGCTGGACGGCTTGAGCTGGGAGTGTGGGAGGGGAGAGGAGGCAGTAGGGAGAGGAAAGGGTAGGCTGCTGGGCCTCTGTGGCCCCCATGCCCGTCCTGAGGTCCAGCCCAGGTCCTGGACCCCCTGGCCACACTCCTGGCCCTGGGCACTGACTGCAGCCAGGGCAGTAGAGGCTGGGGAGACAGTCAGCTCTTGGGCAGGGGGAGAAAAGAAAGAAGGGGCAGGAGAGAAACCCAGTGCAGCATACATGGGGGTGGGAGACTGACAGAAGAGCCCTCATTCCAAAGAAAGGTGTGTGGTGGGCATCTTGGAAAGTTACCTAGAGGCAGCAGCAGAGCAGGCCCCCCACCCTGCCCAGCCACAGGTCCTGGGTGTCCTCCCTTAAGGACCCCGACAGAACCATGGCTCAGGGCAGCAGGCAGATGGGCCAGAGGGAGATGGGGAGCCCGGGACACCCCAAAGCCACAGACTCAAATGCCCCAGGAGAGGGAGAGGGAGGCACCTCCTGCCCCTCTAGGGACATCATCTGGAGAAGGTGCCCTCTCCTGTCCCACTCCATGTGCCCCTCCTAGCAACAGCCGCCACCCGCCGGCTTTACAGGGGTGCTGTCGATCTTGAGATTGGGCCGCTCGCCCCCGGAGGCTGCTCCGGGGCCCATCCTCTTTTTGATCTCAGCAGCCATGGTCATGAACGCCTGCTCGACATTGGTGGCGTTCTTGGCACTCGTCTCCAGGAAAGGGATGCCCAGAGAGTCTGCAAACTCCTGGCAAGGGAAGAGGAGAGAAGAGGAGGGGAGAACAGGTGAGGAGCAGCAGCCCCAGCCCCAACCCAGGCTGCCTGGCCTGCCCGCTACCTTGGCTGTGGTGTTGTCCACCACCTTCTTGGTGGTGAGGTCGCTCTTGTTGCCCACCAGGAGCTTATTGACGTTCTCGCTGGCGTAGCGGTCAATCTCCTGCAGCCACTGCTTCACGTTGGCATAGGATTCCTAGAGGGGGTCAAGGTCCAAAGTTATTTTGCTTCCAACTCTTACCCCTACCCCAGGCATGGAGAACAGGAGCTTCTCTGAGGGGAACGGTGCAGCTCCGGGCCCCTGCAAAAGGGATGGAAAGGAAGCCCTCTGCTCCAGGCTGAACCTTCCTCCCGGCCTCTTCCATCCGAGACCCAGGACAGCGCCAGCAGCCTGCCAGTTGCCCCAACACCTCAACAGCTGCCCAGACCTCAGGGCCTGCCTGCTCTGCTCCCTGCAGCTGTCTCTCCCTGGGACACTTGCAGGCCTAACTGCATGTGGGAAGCAAAGAGAGAGCGGAGGGGAGACAGGAAGAGTAACAGGTCCACAAGAGTCACGGTTCCCAGCGTGGCCTGGGAGTCCCCTTAAGGTTTGAACACTTGCAGCACAGTGGGGGTTGAGGGTCCTCTCGGAGGCGGCCTGGCCCATGAGGAGACAGGCATCCTGGGAGGAGCCTCACATTCATCCTACTTTTGACACCAGCAGCCTCCTCACTTGGCTTCAGACTCTCCCAGCAGCTTGCCCCTGCCCGACACACAAAGGACAGAAGTTTAAAAAAAAAAAAAAGAAAAGAAAGAAGAGAAAAGAAAAAATGGTACTCAGAGACCAGGAAAAAAAAAAAGAAAAAAGAGAAAACAAAGGACAGAAGTTTCAGGAAAGTGCTCAAACTAGGGCCACTTTTTCCTCCTTAGGAGCCAGAGGCCTGGGGTGTCACACTGGCTCACTTCGACCTCTTGCCACATTCCAAGTTGGGGCCTGGGCTAAGTGCCGGGACAAAGGGGGAAATCAACCTGGGCCCTGCCCTAACGCATCCAGGAAACAGTAGAGGAATAGACCACGCCACCCACAAGGGCAAGACAGGTTAGAAGACAGGGGCTGGGGTGTCCCCAGACCACCTCTGCTCCAGGTGGCAGCAACAGCAGACCAAAGCCCACAGGTAGGAAGTGGCCTTGTGCAGGAGAGGTGCCAGCTGGGGAGCTAGCATGTGCCCGGTCACAGAATGGGAGGGGCATGCTGTCTCTGGGGAATGGGAGGAAGTGAAATGCTGCTGGGATGCAGATGCTCAGCAGGGAGGGAGAGGGAGGAGGGAGGGAGAAGGGGAAAGTGGGGAGAGGCCAGAGCACAGTCTTAGCCCAGCTAAGTCTTGGACAACCAGGAGCCAGTGGACATTTTCTTATGCCAAAAGCAGCAGGATCACACCTGTGGTCTGAGAAGCTAGTCCTGGCAGGAGGCAGAGGCCAGATCAGACCAGCAAGATGGAGACCAGCTGGGAAGTGGCTGGAATAACCCAGGAAAGAGAACATGCACCAAGACAGGGAAGCACACAGGATTTAGTCAGACCACCGCTGGTGAAGCCCTGGCTCAGCCATTTACCGTGTGACCTCAGGTATGTGACCTGACCATCCTGAGCCTCAGTTTCCTCATTTCTATAAAATAGCACCTCCCAGAGGGACTGCAGTGAGCATGAGAGAATGAACGCAGGCTTGTCTCATAACAAGTCCTTAATTAGCAAGAGCTGCTATTATCCTCATCACTGCTATTATGAGGGGACAGATTTGAGAAAGATGATGGGGAGAGAATAGAGGGGACTTGAGACTGACTGGATGGGGGAGGGAAGAGTTTTCTGGTCAGGCTGACAAGGATTGTGCCACAAAGATGGGGATGCAGATGGGCATGGTGGCGCACACCTGTAGTCCTAGTGACTCAGGAGGCTGAGGTGGGAGGATCCCTTAAGCCCAGGAGGTTGAGACTGCAGTGAGTTATGATCACACCACTGCACTGCAGCCGGGGTGACAGAGTGAGATCCCATGTCTTTTTTTTTTTGAGACAGAGTTTCACTCATTACCCAACCCAGAGGCTCACCACAACCTCTGCCTCCCGGGTTCAAGCGATTCTCCTGCCTCAGCCTCATGAGTAGCTGGGACTACAGGCGTGCACCACCATGCCTGGCTAATTTTTTTTTTTTTTGTATTTTTAGTAGAGACGGGGTTTCTCTATGTTGGTCAGGTTAGTCCTAAACTCCAGACCTCAGGTCTTCCACCCGTCTCGACCTCCCAAAGTGCTGGGATTACAGGTGTGAGCCACCGTGCCCGGCTGACCCTACGTCTTAAAATAAATAAAGAAAAACTTGTTGGGCATGGTGGCTCACACCTGTACTCCCAGCACTTTGGGAGGCTGAGGCGAGAGGATCATGAGGTCAAGAGATCGAGACCATCCTGGCCAACATGATAAAAACCTGTCTCCACTAAAAATACAAAAAAAATTAGGTGGGTGTGGTAGCGCACGCCTATAGTCCCAGCTGCTCGGGAGGCTGAGGCAGAATTGCTTGAACCTGGGAGGCAGAGATTGCACTACACTACAACCTGGGCAATAGTACAAGACTCCGTCTCAAAAAAGTAATTAATTAATTAAAAAATAAATAAATACAAATTTAAAAATGGGGACAGAGGCGCTGGTTTGAAGAGAGACAGTGAGGCTAGTGTTGGACATCTGAGTTCTGCAGAAGCTGCTGGAGGATGAGAAAGGGTGTGCTCAGGAGCCAAAAGTCCTGAGTTCTAAAACCGGCTTTGCCCTTCCTGTGAGGTGGCACGTGACTTAAGGCCTCTCCAAGCGCCCTCATCCGGAAGACACAGGCCCCACCATTTAGTTTACTGGGGATCACTGAGCTCAGAGTTAACACAGACACAAAGTGCCAGGTCAGACACGGACAGAGAAGGGAAGCCACAGCCACGGCTGTTAGACGCAGGTATCAGAATACAGAGTGGCCACAGCCATGCAGAAGAGCGAGGAGGAGAGTCCAGGGCAGAGCTGGGAAGCAGCAAACATGGGTGACAGGAGGCAGCCCCGGGAAAACAGTTAAGAGCCGCTGACAATACAGAATTGAGTGCTGCCGGAGATGAGGGAGGTGGGCCAGGCCACTCTTCAAGGAGAGAGAAGAGAATAGACTTCAAAGCCATGAGAGGTCAATCAGCTGAAATGAGGTCACTGGACACGGCAGTCAGGAGGGCCTTGGTAACCTCTGTCTGGGTGGTAGGTATGTAGCTTCCCCATAGCTCGTCCAGAGCTGGGGACATCATGAGTTCCTGGTGAGATAAAGAGCCCAGCTGTCCCTCAGACCGGGACTCTTCCCAGACCAGGGCTGATTTAAGCTTCTCCTCATCTCCAGGGCTTGGCCCTGTTAAGCAACAACACTTGGTAGAAAGAAACAAAGCAGGTGGAATGAGCCATCCAGGCTTTATGCCTCAGCAAGTCACCTCACCAATCCGGAGCCCAACTCCTCACCTGTGCGATAGGAACATAACAGACCTTTTCTGAGCATCAGAAGCAATCTGAGGGCTGGGCCACGTTCTGTCAACTGTAAGTTTCATGGGACCATTTCTGGCGGCTGCTGGAGACACAGGGCTTCTAGACCTGCTCACAGAGCTCAAGCCTCCTCGCTTCTTTGTGTAAGGCTCTCTAATTGTCCTCTGCACCATGTCTTCACACAGGAAGCCATAGGCCCAGCATAGCAGCCAACTGGCTGACTAAACTCCCACAATACCCACATGCCCAGAAGGCCAACAATAAGGTGGTAAGTCTGGCTTGGCGGGGAGGGAAGGTGTGAGCCCTTGTCCTGACAAGATGCTGCAGCAGGGCCCTGGGAGGATCCATGTCTGTGGCTGTTTCCCTCCTTGTGAAATGAGTCTGAGTACAATCACCTATTTTTTTCCTTTTCCTAGTTAGTTCTCGCAAACAGGCAAGTACAGTGTCCTTTCCAGGAAGCATCAGGACAGACAGGATGGAAGAAGAAAAAAGGAGTCAAAGACCTAAGACTGAGAAGGCCAAGCTGAGAAAGGCTAGTCCGGGAGTACCTGGTCAGTGACGTCATACACCACGATGATGCCATGAGCCCCCCGGTAATAGCTGGAAGTGATGGTCCGGAACCGCTCCTGGCCCGCTGTGTCCCACTAGGAGATAGTAGGCAGAGGAGCAGGTCAGCTGGGGGCTCCACGCCCAGAGTCCCTTCCCTCCCAAGGCGGTTACCTCTGTACTGGGGTTTTGGGAAGAGCAACACTCACGATCTGAAGTTTAATAGTTTTGCCATCCAGCTCAATGGTTCGAATCTTGAAGTCCACCCCGATGGTACTGATGTAGCTCTCTGTGTACGTGTCATCCTGGAAGTTCAGGGGCCAGAGATGGAGTGAATGAGCTGAGGCTTGGAGAGCCTCCCTCCAGCTCCCTGCCCCAGCTGGGTCTCCAAACCACCAAGCCCTAGTTCCCAGCATCGAGCTGGCCAGCCCTGTATCTTATTCAGGGCAGATGTGCTGCTGGCAGGTCTTACAGTTTCAGCCCTGGTTCCCAGATCTTGTCATTATTGTGCTCTGGGTCGTCCCTTCTCCCCCTAGCTGCCAGTCAGGACCCCAGGCAGATGGTATGGGAGGCTTCTTACTCACAGCAAACCGCAGGAGCAGGCATGACTTGCCCACGCCTGAGTCGCCAATCAAAAGCAGCTTAAACAGGTAGTCACTGGAGAGAGAGGATGGGAAGGCATGAAGGAAGGCAAGGAGCCCACCAACTATCATGCTGGAGTCACAATTACAGGATCCCCCTACCCCATAAGGCATCCCTCAGTTTATTTCTTTCGTTAGTGATCAGGTCTCACTCTGTTACCCAGGCTGCAGTGCACTGAAGTGATCACGGCTCACTGCAGCCTCTACCTCCTGGGCTCAAAGTGATCATCCCATCTCAGCCTCCCAAGTAGCTGGGACTACAAGCTAACCCTTTTTTTTATTTTTTTTGAGATGGAGTTTCGCTCTTGTTGCCCAGGGTGGAGCGCAGTGGCTCAATCTTGGCTCACTACAACCTCTGCCTGCTGAGTTCAAGTGATTCTCCTGCCTCAGCCTCCCAAGTAGCTGGGATTACAGGTGCCCACCACCATGCCTAGCTAAGTTTTGTATTTTTAATAGAGATGGGGTTTCACCATGTTGGCCAGGCTGGTCTCCAACTCCTGACCTCAGGTGATCCACCTGCCTCAGCCTCCCAAACTGCTGGGATTACTGGCATAAGCCACCATACCCAGCCCCCGGCTAATCTATTCTTTATTGAGACAGGATCTCACTACGTTGCCCAGGCTGGTCTCAAACTCCTGGGTTCAATCGATTCACCTGCCTTGGCCTCTGAAAGTGCTGGGATTACAGGGGTGAGCCACTGCACCTGGCCATCCCTTGGTTTAGAATACGATGGTGCTCACCAGATCTTCCCACCAGTCCCAGTTGGGGAGGGCTGATGCCTCCCTCCACAAACAGCTAGCCCAAAGGGCTCTCAGCATGCTGTCTAAATTCTCACTTTATGGAGAAAGAAATCAAGACACAGAGAAGGAAAGAACCTGCCAAGGTGACAGAGCTGGATATACTACCCTGATTTCTGAGACTCCACGGTTTGGTCCAGTTGGGGCTATTTAGGGAATCCCCAGTACATGCCCTGTGGTATGCCTAGCTTGGCAGGAGAGGCCTCAGAAGCAGAAGCCAGGGCACAGCCTAGAACCTACTAAGTGAAAAAGCCACTTAAAAAGCCTGATGGCTGGGTGCTGTGGCATGTGCCTCTGGTCCCAGCTACCAGGGAGGCTGAAGCAGGAGGATTCCTGGAGCCCAGGAGTGCATGACCAGCCTGGGTGATGTAGTAAGACCCTGTCTTTTTTTTTTTTTGAGACAGAGTCTTGCTCTGGAGTGCAGTGGGGTGATCTCGGCTCACTGCAACCTCTAACTCCCTGGTTCAATCAATTCTCTCGCCTCAGCCTCCCAAGTTGCTGGGATTACAGGCACACGCGACCACACCCCTTTTTTTTTTTACAAAAAAAAGGAGCTAATTTTTGTATTTTTAGTAGAGACGGGGTTTCACCATGTTGGCCAGGATGGTCTCAATATCCTGACCTTGTGATCCACCCGCCTTAGCTTCCCAAAATGCTGGGATTACCGGTGTGAGCCACTGCGTCCGGCCAACCCTGTCTCTTGAACAACAACAACAAACCTGTTATGAAGTCCCCAGGAAGAGGTGGTCAAGTTGCAATGAAAATTGTACTTAAGGCTGGGTGCAGTGGCTGACACCTATAATCCCAACACTTTGGGAGGCCGAGGCTCGAGGATCATTTGAGCCCAGGAGTTTGAGACCAGGCTGGGAAAAATATCAAGACCATGTCTCTACAAAAAATTTAAAAATTTGCCAGATGTAGTGGTGTGCCTCTGTATTCCCAGCTACTCAGGAGGCCAAGGAAGGAGGACTGCTTGAGCCCAAGAGTTGGAGGTTGCAGTGAGCCATGCTCACACCACTGCACTTCAACCTGAGTGACAGAGAGAGGCCCTGTCTCAAAAAAAGAGGTAAAAGGTAATCACATTTAATATTATTGAGTTTCAACTTGTGACTGATCCTGTGTGAAGTACTTAAAATGCATCATCTCATTTAATCTTCACAACAGTCCAATGATGTCAGTCTGTCATTGTTCACTAATGAGGAAACCAGAGGCCAGAGAAGGGAAGTGACTTGCCCTAACTTACACAGTTTATCGCTTTAAGGCTCAAACCAGGTTTGTCAGACTCCAAAGTCCCTGCGAGAGCCTGCTGGTTCCCTTCTCTGTTCCCCTCCCAATCCAGGTCAGAGCTTCACCCTTCCCCAAGGAAACCTGAGACCTGGATGTGGAGGAGAAAAAGGAAGTGGCAGAAGAGGAAGAAGATAACTGATACTTGGGGAAAACTATTCGTCCTGGGCATGAGATGTAGGCCATCTACCCGCAGGGCGAGTGACCAAGACTGAGGAGAGTTTGAGGACCAGAGAATCCCACTGGTAGGGGGAGAGCAAATTCCAAATTCATCTAAACTTCACAGGCAGTGTGACAGCCAAGGGAAGGGGTGTGACGGTAGCGATGGGGGCCAGAGCAAAAGCGAGGAGACGGCGGGAAAGGACGGGCAGCCGGGAGCGACAGGACTGCGCGACCCAGGAAAGGGGTAGGAGGCAGCCCCGGAGGAGAGGACCTGCGGGAGACACGACCCAAGAGGCACTTCAGGGCCTCCCGCGTAGTTGGCCAGCTTCTGGGCAAGCCCCAGGACCCGGGCTTCGGGAGAAGAGGGCAGAGAGATTCACTGCCCGACCTAAAGGGTCGGAGCCTGAACCCGAGACCAGAAACTGTCGAGACGGGCTCCAAAACGTCCGGACAGTTTTTAGGCAGCAGGTGAGGAAACTGAGGCCTGAAATGACCAGGACTGAGGGGTCATCTGACCGATAAGGCCTGTCTCGGGCTCCACGAGCTGCCCGAGACCTCCGGGTCGCCACGTATGGGCTCCGGGTGAGAGGACTCGGGGTGTTGAGCCGGGGTCCTGGGGCCCCTGGGGGGAGGGGCAGAACCCGGATGTAATGGGGGGGGTCAGCGGAAGAGAGACCCGGATGTGGGGGCGCCGCACAGTCCTGACCCGGGCCAGACAACCTCGGTAAGCGTACAATCCCGTACTCGGGATCGAGGCTGCGCCGGACGGCGCGGGCGGGGCTCACTCACTATTCGGGGTTCATGGCGGCGGCGGCGGCCCGCTCGGTCGCTCCCAGTCAGCTCTGCTCCGCCTCCCGTTCCAAGATGGTGGCCGCTCCGCCCCAGAGGCCCCGCCCGCGATGCGCAGGCGCAAACATTGTAGACTGGGGCCTCGCCGCGCTGCTTTTCGGAACTTGTAGTCGGCCACGTTCTCCTACTCAAACCAGCTGCGCAGGCGTAGTCGGGGAACCCGCGCCTCCCCGCCCACTCCCATCACTGCTGGCGCATTGCCTTCTGGGGTTTGTAGTTTGCACGGTGGACGCACCTAGGCTTGAGCACTGCCTGACTGCGCGTCGGTGTTTAAAAAGCTCAATATAGAGCTGCGCTTGGCACGTTTCACATCTGTCTGACGGAGGCAGTCATCCTTACCCTCTCAGCCCCCACGCTGGTAACATTAAATGAGAAGGTGGGTGCTAGTAACAGGCTAACACAAGTTCATTTGTCCAGGGTTCTTCGTGTACTGGCCTCTCCTAACTCGCAGCCGCGTGTCATGGCTCGCATTTCATAGATGAAAAATCTGAGACTCAGGAAACTCAAAACTTTGTGAGGAGCAAAGCTCACAAGAGCCCGCCGTCTCTAAAATCCCAGAAGTGAGGGTTTTAGGTAAAACCTGACTTGTGGGGTCCCCACACCATTCCCAGGTGGGGCAGAATACTTAGGCCCACCTGCGCGGACAGCGGGTGAGCGAACCCACTCACGCGCGATTCTTCCCGGCTCCACCCAGTATGGAGACGCTGGGGGCCCCCGACCTCCGCCTCAAAACAAGCCCGGCTCGGATTCAAACCGTCTTTATTTCTAGAGCAACATCTGAAAATAGAGAGCAGCCGCCTCACCCGCAACAGGGACAGCCCCTCCTGCCACAGGGGACCGTCGCCGCCCCTCAGGAGAAGCTGCAGGCGTGGGGGTAGGCGTGGCAGGATGGCTCGGCGGGCGGTACCCGGGGCAGGGTCTGGCCGTGCCTGGGCGGGGCCGGGCGGGAGGGGCAGTGCATAAGGCCGGGATGCGGGGCAGGGCCCGGCGGTGGGAGGACGGACTACGGGAGGTCCCCCGTCCTGGAGCACAGGGCGAAGGCGGGGTAGGGCGCATCCCAGGAGGAGAGCGAGAAGGTCAAGGTACCCCCTTGGGAAGCGCCACTCCCGAGAATGTGGGGCCTGGGAGATACCACCGCACGGAATGGGGGTGATTAAGGCCTGGGCGGTACCACTAGAGGAGGGACAGGGGAGGCCCGGGTAGTACCGTGGACTGAAGGCAGGGGCGCGGCCAATAACTTATTTCTCTATATACAGAAGCAACGGCCGGGTTGACTTGGGAAGGCGGGTGAGGGTGCCAAAGGGCCGGCGAGTGCTTAGTGTTCTTGGCTCTGGGGTTTGGGGAGGCCAGGCCACTGAGTCTATCGTGGAGACTCCAGCCGGCACCTCCTGCTGACCACGAACCTAGGGAAGAGAGGGCCCTGCTGGAAGGAATAAATAAGGGATCGAGCTGGAGTGGGCAGGCCCAGCCTCCAGGGCTCAGGCTGAGATGACAAGGGAGAAGGTTACCCTGAGATTGAACAGAAAAGACAGGGGCCATTAGGGAGAGGCGGGACAAGCAGCAGGCCCATGCGCAGGGCTGGGGTGAGGGGGGGTGTGTGCCAGGTGGGCACTCTGATGACTGGCTGCCCCTTCAGCATTAGCCCACCAAGGAGCTTCGTCGGGAGAGGTCCATCGAGCTGGAGCTGAGAGTGCGGCTGTCAGAGAGACCTGTGCCTCCAGGCTGTGGGCAGAGGGGGCAGGCGGCTCAGCCCTGTGCTGCTGCGGGTCTGTGCCTCCCTGGCCCGAAGGGGCCTTACCCGGCAGAAGCAGGGCAGAGGCAACTGGAGTCCCTGAGCTGAGCAGAGGCAGTGGCAGTGGCAGTTCCAGCCCAATGCCATGCCCTGGTGCCCTGACAGTCCCAACCCCCTCCTCCGTGACTGTGTTGGCACTGGCCGCTTACACATCTACCCACAGGCAGGGGCTGTGTTCCTCCTCATATGTCTCCCAATTGTCCAGCCCAAAGTAGGCCTGAGACAAGAGTTTGGAACTGTTGCTGGATGAAGAGGCATGCTGGAGGGAAGCTAGGCAGCATGCATGCTGCCCAGTGCCCACACGCCTGCCTGCCCCTACCTGGGCTGGCTCTTCCACACTCTTGTTGAGGAAGTTGAGGGAACTGGCCCGCTTCATCCTGAGGGAAAAGGACAGCCTGGGATTTGCCAAGGTGGAACTCAGGGGAGATGAGGGCAGGGAGCAGGGTGGAGCTGGGGAAGGAGCAGACTGGTGGGTGATGGTGCCTGAGGGATGGGGAGGTTGCCTGGGGTCAGCAGGGCTCACTCTGGGTCAGAGGCTCATCTGGGGTTGTTGGGTGGTTCTTGAGGCTCACCTTGGTGGGGGACTCACCTGGGGTTAGGGGGTTCCTGGGGGCTGCCCCCCTGCAGCTTCTTTACCAGCATCTCGCTGCTGCGCCTCAGGGCATCCCGGAGCTTCCCAAAGGAGCCACTGCGCCGCAAGGAGCCACTGCCATCCTGTGGGTGGACAGGCTCACCTCTAGGCCCCACTGGCCACCTAGGCTCCCAGCCTGGCCCAGTCCCCCAACTCACCCCACTCCACTCAGGTGTAGGCCCTGCCTCCTCGAGGTCAGACTCAGACCGAGGCCCGGCACCCCCAGCCACGTCTCGGCTGCCACGGTGGTCTCCCCGCCCGCTACTGCCATCTTTCAGCAGTTCCACCACCTTGGTCTGGCTTGCGGGGTCCAAACCCTGAGGGAGGGGCAGGGGCATCAGGCAGTGACTGGGCCACACCCAGGGCCACACAGGTGTCTGCCCACCCGTTCCTGCATGGAGCCCCACCTGCTTCCGATTGCGGCTGGCACAGTCCTCTAGCGTGTGTGCGGCTTCCAGTTTGCCCTGGCGCCGGTACAGGGCTCCCAAGCTGCGCAGGGTGGTGTTGACCGTGGGGCTGTGGATGGGACAGTCTCAACCTCCATGTTCCCTGAGACCTAGGGCCTATCCTGGTACCCAGCCCACACGGGCCCTGAGGAAGCAGGGACCACTGGGCTAGCCAGAATCCATTCTCTCCCATGTCAAGCCCCGTACTGGGCCCACCCAGCCTCTTCCGTCCTGGGGAATCAACCCAGGGCTGGGGACCTGGCCTCAGGTCCCTCATGGGATGTGTCACCAGGACCCAATGCTGGGAGACCTGGAGCATGAGAATTAGGCTGAGAATTAAGAGAGTGCACCTTCTTGGGATAGGTGACCTGTGAGCTGGGCATTGCCAGATGAGCAGCAGAGGAGAGGTGTGTCAGGGATGAGAGTAGGGAGTGCAGAACCCGCCTTGGGGTGCCCAGCTCCCCAGCCCCACCCCTCCCTCACCTGTCTACTTTACAGGCCTTGTACCAGCTGCCGTATTCCCCATAGGGGGCGCTGTCCCGGCGCTTATCCTGGAGGAAGGTCACATGAAGTGAGAGCCCAGGCCCCGTTTGCACATCCCTGCCCAGCCCTGCCCCACAGAGCTACCTTGCTCTCCTCCCGCTCCTCTGCATGCATCCAGATGGGCTTGTTGTCCCCTGGGGAGAGAAAGGGGACCGTCACCAGCCTACCACATAGGCCTCACCTGGTTGGGCTGGACACAGGATGGAGTCTGGGGAGGGAGGACCAGGGTTGAGCTTTTTTTTTTTTTTTGAGACAGAGTTTCGCTCTTGTTACCCAGGCTGGAGTGCAATGGCACGATCTCGGCTCACCGCAACCTCCGCCTCCTGGGTTCAGGCAGTTCTCCTGCCTCAGCCTCCTGAGTAGCTGGGATTACAGGCACGCGCCACCATGCCCAGCTAATTTTTTGTATTTTTAGTAGAGACGGGGTTTCACCATGTTGACCAGGATGGTCTCGATCTCTTGACCTCGTGATCCACCCGCGTAGGCCTCCCAAAGTGCTGGGATTACAGGCGTGAGCCACCGCGCCCGGCCTGAGCTTTGTTGAATGAAGGAACAAGAATGAGACCCAAAACACTACTGACCCTCTAATGGACAAAGAGATGAGCAGAACAGACCCTTACACACCTCAGGCCACAGCCCAAGACATGTGATAGGCCTGAATGACAGGCCAGGCTCCAAGGGACTCAGGAGCAGGAGATGACAAGCCATCCAGGGCCAGAGGTGGTTTCCCAGAGCGGGAGACGCTGGGGCCAGGCCCTCAAGGTTAGCAGGAGTCACCAGTGGAGAAAAGGGATCCAAAAGTGTGTGAGGCACTGGCAGGCCAAGGGGGCTGCCTGAGTCGGGTGTGTGTTCACATGTGCAAATGTGAACACAGGTAGCTGGGCACCAGCAGAGGGTGAGGCTGGGGACCAGCCAGGACCAACCAGAGGAACTGCTGGCTGAAGGATTTGTCCTGGGTGCTGATGGCAGAGCGGGCCTGGGATGAATGGGCCAGAGGCACATGGCAACCATGCACTCACCATTGACAGAGCCAAACTCTTTCTCGTGAGCGCGGGTGAGGATCTCCTTGTACAAGGTCTCTGCATCCTGGTACTTGCCCTGCTTCAGGTAGCAGGAAGCCTGGAAGCAGGGGACCCAGAGAGTGAGCGGATGGATGGAGCCAAGCCATTCTCTCCTCCTTCCCCAACCTCATCCCTCCCTCCCTCCTTCCTATCCTCCAGCCCCTCCCAACCCCAAGGCACCAGGTTGTTCTTGGTCTTAGCCACGTTGGGGTCATCAGGCCCAAGGCGTGTAGCATAGATCTCCAGTGCCCGCCGGTAGTAGTATTCTACCTCCTCGGCTTTACCCTGGTTCTGGCATAGCAGGGCCAGATTGCTGAGCTGCTTAGCCACGTCTGGGTGAAACTTGCCCAGGACCTGGGATGGGAGAGGGAGCCAGGGCTGGGCTCAGGGCTGCCTGGGCCCCTGCCTCCCAGACCCCCAGCCTGCCCAGTCCTGCCTACTCCCACCTTCTCCCGGATCTCCAGCGCCCGCTTGCACAGTGGCTCAGCCTCCTTGTACTTGCCCCGCTTGCCATACAGGACCGCCAGGTTGTTTAGTGTTGCAGCCACCTAGGGGTGGGAGAATGGAAGCTCCTTGACCCAGGCCCTGCAGGACTCTGGGACCTACAGAGGATGGGGCACAGCCCCCACCTCCCACCCAATCCTCACTCACAGCCGGGTGGTCCTTGCCCAGTGTCTTCTCCCGGATGGCCAGAGCGTCATTGAGCAGGTGGGCAGCCTCCTTGTACTTGTTCTGGTCCCTGGAAGCAGGCAGGAGCATGGTCATGGCTGTCCTCCAGCTTAAGGCCCTCCCCAGTGGCCTTCAATCCCTGTGGTCACTCCTGTACTCACTGAGGAGTGACAGTGTGGGGAGACCTGCTTGGCTCCTGCCCTCTGAGCTCTGGGGGCTGTGGGCAGTTTTCTCACAATTAACTGGGGTGTGTAGTGCTGGGGTCCCACTGACTGCCTGGTGGCTAGTGTCCTGGGTGCCACATGGCTCTCCTGCTGCCCCTCTAGCGTGTCCTGCTCTCCAGGTCCCAGTGACTTTGCTCATGCTGGCTTTTTGCCATGGGAACCTTTTCCATCCCTCTTATGTTGGGCAAACTCACTTTCTGCCAAAGCTCCTCCTCCAGCCTTGGTACCTGGAGAAGCCATGCGGACTCCCCAGGACCCTTGCAGTCCTCATGTGCAGTCCCTCCGAGGTTCTGGCCAAGCCTCTCTCCTACACTAGGCAGTTTTACTAGTGCAGCCCAGCTGCACGCAGACGGGGCCCAAGTCCTGGCCCACACAGGCACCAAGGGTTGGTGATCCAGGGCTAGAGCCTTCCAGAAGAATTTGGGCACCCCGAGGGAGCCCTCACCGATAGACCAGTGCCAGGATGTTCAGCATGGTGGCAACGTCAGGATGGTCGTGGCCTGAGGTCTTCTCCAGGTCCTCCAGTGCCTGCTTGCAGAGTGGCACAGCTACCTCGTAGCGGCCCTGTGAGGCATACTGGATCACCAGGTTGTGCAGGGTACGGAGCCGGGCCGGAATCTCGTATCCCCCATGCTGAGCAGACACATCCCCTCCTCCTGGGCTAGGGGCTGCAGGCCAAGGGCAGGAGGTCAGATGTACCATCTGCCCGCTGGGCTGGGCTGGCACATGCCAGCAGTGCCTTTGAGCCACTTGACACCTGGCCCTGGGCAAGTCACTAAGCACTCTTTCTCAGTTTCCCCATTTGTAGAGTGGGTCTAGTTACCCCATAGAAAGAGGGGGTAGAGGCCCAGCTCCAGTACGTCAGGCTCAGTATCCTGCAGTAAGTCACCTAACCTCTGAGCCTGTGTCCCTGTGTACAGAGTGGAAGCCCCAACGCTCGCCCAATACCTGAGCAAGGCAGGCACTGGCCCTGGTGTGGCTCTGCAAGTGCCTCCCACAGAGGTGGCACAGAGAGGAAGATAACTCTCCCAGGGGTCTGAGGAGCTAGTGGCAGAGCAGCACTGGAAGCCAGGCTGGCGACTCCATAGCTCTTAACTGTGATGTCTGCTCCCTAGAACTGGGGGATGTGAGAAGCAGCAGCACATACAACTGTTCTTGAAGCTCTAACACTAGGATGTCATGAGCAGAAGTAAGGCAGGAAGGAACATGGCAGCCACTCGGTCCCAAGGACTGTGAGTTCACACAACCTTTCCTTCCCTCACTCCAGAACTGCCCATCCGCACCTGGGCTCTGCTCATCCTCATTGGGGAACAGGTCATCCAGAGTGTCTTTGGGGACGTCCCCCTTCTCCTCCTGGGGAGGAAGACAGGATGAGCGTCAGGGAAGGAAGCACAGGGCGGCCAAGGTGACCATGGGCTGGGGTGGAGCCAAATCTGCTCCATGCTGCCCCCTTCCTGCTCCCAAGCCCCCTTGCTGGGCAACAGTGACCATGGTAGGGGCTCACATTAGGGGAGGCGTCTTCGTCCAACTTGCGGATCTGGCTCATGAACAGCAGGTGCTGCTTCTCCTCCTCGAGCTGGGCCACAGCTTGCTCACTGCGCTGCAGCTTCTGCTGTGTGCCCGCCAGCTCCTCACGCAGCCACTGGTTCTCCTGCACCAGGCGCCGTACCTGCGCCCGCAGCTTCTGCTTCTCTGATTCTACGGCCCCCAGGTGGCTCGACAGTGCCAAGATCACCTGTGCAAACAGCCCAGGTAAGGGTCGGAGCCCTGTTGATCCCCTCGCTTATGACTCTAACCTGTGCCTTGTGAAGAACCAGGCCTGACCCTACAGTGAGAAGCTGCAGACCTTGGGGTTCTCTCCTCCTCAAGGAAGAATCTCCTCAAGGCCCCAAACACACTATAGTCCAAGGCCCAAACCCAGGAGGCTTGGGAGTCCCCAATTCCTTCCTTCTGGGATCAGGAGAACCCCAGAAAAGTCCTAGTTGGGGTGCTGTGCTTTCCTTGAGCTCCTAGCCTCTTCATCTCTCCCTGGGTTGTACTCAAGCTCCTGCTGCCACAGCCACTAGGTTACTGCTCCCTGCCCCAGGGCTAGCACTTGCCCGCTGAACTCTGCTAGATGGCTGAAAGGCCACCCAAAGACTCTGTCCCCACTTCTGCCAAGGGGCCACAGCATCCCCTGCCTTTCTGCAGCTCCCAGGTAGGGAAGGGGCATGTGTCCCAAATGCTCAGCTGGCATGAGGAGCCACAGGGACAGGAAAAGCCTTGGCCTCAAACTCCACCCCTCTCCCCAGCCTCTATAACTCCTTTCCTGAGTTTCTAGTCTCTTCCTGCCTAGGTTCCACCCTGCCTTCTCTCTCTCTCTCTCTCTCTCTTTTTTAATTTGAGATAAGGTCTCACTCTGTCACGCAGGCCGAAGGGCTATGGCACCATCACAGCTCACTGCAGCCTCTACCTTCCAGGTTCAAGTGGTCCTTCCCGCCTGAGTAGCTGGGACTACGAGTGCACACCACCACAAGCCTTAGTCCTGGCTATTTAGGAGGCTGAGGCAGGAGAATCGCTTGAACCTGGAAGGCGGAGGTTGCAGTGAGCTGAGATCGCACCACTGCACTCCAGCCTGGGCGACAGAGTGAGACTCTTCTCAAAAAAAAAAAAAAAAAAAAAATTTTTTTTTGTAGACATGGGGTCTTATGATGTTGCCCAGGCTGATCTAGAACTCCTGGATTTAAGCAATCCTCCCACCTGGGCCTCCCAAAGGGCTGGGATTACAGGCGTGAGCCACCACACCTGGCCTTACTCTGGGCCTTCACCCTTTCCTGGTCCTTCATGGTCCAGGGTCATTTCTGCAGTGGTGCCTCCAGCTAGTCACACCTCCCACTCTGCTCCGGCTTCACACATGGCCTTGATGCCCATGCCCTCTGTGAGAGTGCATATGCTCCACCAGATGTGGAGCCCCTGAGTGGTCCTCTCCGCCTCTGACAGCCAAGTGGCAGAGGAGTGAATGTCCTTGCAGAGGGCCAGGCTGTCTGGGACCCTGCACTTTCTAGTTGGTTAGCAAATGCCCAAGTGACAGGTGTTTCCATAACCACTAGCTTTAAAAAAATAATTCCCCCAACAGCCTGGAAGTGTACACAGCAGATGGCATGATCCCTATTTTAAAGACAAGGAAACCAAGATGATACAACCTCCCCAGGATTCACACGCCAGGCAGGGGCTCAGCCAAGCTCTGAGGGGAATAAAACAAGTCTAACTCCTTGTACATCCATCCCAGTGGCTCCTGGACATCTCCATCTGCCTGTCACCCTGGCGGCCTCAGTTAAAGGGGGCCAAAACAGAGTTCTGATCCACCCAGGCCCTCTCCTCCCTTAATTTGCTTAAACCACAAACCTGGGAATGATGTTCCCCTCCTCTCTCTCCCTTATTCCACCCCCGGCTCTTGCTGGACCTGCCTCCAGAACATCCAGAACTGATCCCTTTTTTCCACCGTCATAGCCACCCCTTAATTCCAAGCACCAGCTCTCATTTTAATTCCAGCAGTGGCTTCCTAACCACTCATTGCGGAGTGATTCCATCCTTGACCCACTCAGGTTTATTCTCCACATCTCAGCCAGAGAGAGTTTTTAGAAACTCAAGTCAGACTGTATTGCCTGCCTGCTTAAAGCCCTCCAAAGGCTTCCTGATTTCCTGAGAATAAAACCCAAACTAACCAGGCCACAATCTGGCTCTTGTTTCTCCCCAGGCCTCTTCTGTCCCTCTCTGCCTTCCCATGAAGCTCCAGTCACACAGTTCTTCTCCCAGTCCCCCCACCACAACCTCCTTCCTACCCCAGGACCTTTGCACACACAACTCTCCCCCACCTCCCTTTCCTGGAGGCTTGTTCTTTTCTTCCCTCAGGTTTCAATTTGTCATTTCCTCATAGAAGTCTTACCTGACCAATAGATAAGACTCGTTGCTATGAGTGATCATAAGATCTTGTTCTTTTCTTTGTAGAACTTATCATAATTTATAACAACCAATTATTTCTGTATGTATGTTTTTGTCTCTTTTCCAAATAGGGCAGGAATCTTGTCTATTTTGTGGGGCTCTGTATCCACCTAACACCCTGAGTGGCCCATCACAGGCACTAAGTAACTCATCTGTTAATGAGTGAACAGAAGAATGAATTGGTGGGGGCTGTGTTTCCTTAAGGATTTTCTTTCTGTTCTTTTATGCCATCCAGTCTCCCTTAGGTTGAGGGGAGCCCGGAATGGGGCTCTGCGTGGGGGCGAGGGTGATCACGGTCTCTTGGGGCAGGGCTGGGATCGCCGAAGCGCATTTATTTCTTCAAAAGATATTTACTGGGGTCCTAACATAGGGCTCCAGGAAACAGACGGTTCCCTGCTCAGATTCTGCTCCTACATTACCGGATTCCTCTGAAAGGCTCAATCCCTCCAGTGACCTCCCACCTCAGTACCCCAGACTGACCTACCTGGGCCTCCCCCAGCCCAAGCTCAATGGCTTCCAGGGAGCGACGCAGGAGGATGCAGCGCTCCTGCGAGCCAGGCTCGGCTTCACCGGCCTCAGGCGCAACCAGAGGAGCCAGCAGGGCACGATGCTCCCCACGCAGAGTCTCCAGTCCCTGGATGACGGCCTTGGTGCCCAGCACGATCTCATCCTGGCTCAACTTCTCCTCCCGCGGAAGCACCATCATGGCCATGGTTGTGCCGTCTGTGAGGACGAGGGGGCAGGCGGGTGCCAGGCCTGGGGCCACACCGCCGTCCACCCCGGATTAGATAAACACAAGCGGTCCCCGGACTCCTGGGTCCCCGGTGTGCCCAGGTCCCCCAGCCGACAGCCCACACAGTGCCCACGCTTGGCCTACAGAGGGCGCGCCCGGCTCGTCTGGGCTAGGGAGACGCAATGCGGTGCAGCCGGACCCTGCTTCGGCCCCAGACCACCCGGCTGAGGCCGAGTTAGGTGGCCCCGTGTCCGGGTTTCCCCGGGGACCTTCTAACCAAGACAGGTATGGAATCGTGGGAGCTCCCTCCAATGCAGGGGACCCCGGCCCCTCCGGCGATCCGGGCCCAGCACCTCGGACAGCCCCGTCCCCAACAGGCAGTCCAAGCCGCGGAGCCCATCCCCACGACGGGCCGACCCTGCGGAGGACCGCCCGCTAGAGGGGCTGAGGCCGCGGCCCTTCAGGCCGTACCACTCCTATAGGCCAGCGCAACGCCCTGAGGCCTCCCCTGAAAAGGCCGAGCCCTAGCCCCGAGACACCCAGGACCGCGCCCCCTCCCAGGGCTGGCCCGACCCTCCCAAAGGCCGCGCCCACGACGACCCCCTCCCCTAGGCCAACCCGGAGCCCCCTCCCCACCTTTAGGGCCTGATCCCCTCTCTCGCCCCGATCGGCCCGCGCCGACCTGCGCCTGCTGCTCGGGCCCGGCTCCGGCTTCGGCTCCCGCTGTCGGCCGCTTCACCGGGACCCGAAATCGCGAGTCGGTCCCGCCGCCTCCATCTCGCCGGACTTCCCAGCAGCCCCCGCGCCGCCTTAAAGGTGAAGCCGCTACCTCGGCGGCGTCGGAGGGGGCGAAACAAGCTCTCTGACTGCTTGCTGCCTTAAAGGAGCGCGGGCCGGGCCGGCTCCAGCGGGAGAGGGAGGGGGCGGGGCCATCGGGGAAGGGGCGGGGCTAGACGGGGCGGGGGCGGGACTAGGGACCACCCGGGGCGCAGTTCCCAGTGGCCGCCAACTCTGAGGGGTGCCTCGGCTGCAAAATGCCGCGGGGCCTCAGGGTGTGGAGCTGCTCGGGAGGTCGAACCCGAAAGTACCTACTGTGACGCCATCGAGGACGGCGGGAGAAACAGGCCCAGAGAGAACGCTGGGCTTCCCGGAGTACAGAGCGAGGCAGTTACCACTAACTGAGCGCCTACTGCGTGTTGCGCGCTTTGGTGCCCTGGGTGCATTGACTTAATGCTCACAAAGACCCGGGAAGTGAGTGCCGCTGTTACCTGATTTGCAGATCTGACCCCAGGCTCCGCATCCTGGAGTCATATCTGGTGGGGGATGCACCATCTCTGACAGAGGTGGTTCAGCGCCCTTAGGTCAAGTACATCCTGTGACAGGGAGCTTACTAGTTCGGCTTTGAGACAGCTCCAAAAGTTAGCACAATTTTCCTCGGATAGAACCGAAATGCCTTCCTGCATTGCTTACCCACAGCCCTAGCTCTGTCTTCAGGAAGAAGTCCCTTCACTCAGTCCTGCGGCAGTTTCCTGACCTTTCCCCATCCCAGTTTCTCCTTTCTGGGTGTAATCTAGCATGTCAGTCCGGATCCTGCTCAGAAGGTGGTGCTCAGCCCAGGGCCCAATGACCAGACACAAGGCGTCTAACTGCACAGATCAGAGGGACGGTCCCCTCATAATGAGGATGCCACCTGTCCACAAAAAAAAAAAAAAAAAAAAGCCGCAAATCAGGCTGCCTTTGACACAAGTGAAGACCCTCTATTGTGCACATCTCAGTAACATCCAACCAGATTCTTCTCAAACCTGTGCTGTGCCAATTACTTTTTTTAAGAGACAGGTTCTTACTTTATCACCCAAGCTGGTGTGCAGTGGTATGATCATAGCTCGCTGTAACCTCAAACTCCTTTTTTTTTTTTTTTCTTTTTGAGATGGAGTCTCTGTCTCACAGGCTGGAGTGCAGTGGCTCAATCTTGGCTCACTGCAACCTCTGCCTCCTGGGTTCAATCTTGGCTCACTGCAACCTCTGCCTTCCACCTCAGCCTCCCCAGTAGCTGGGATTACGGGCGCCTGCCACCACACCTGGCTAATTTTTTGTATTTTTAGTACAGATGGGGTTTCACCATGTTGGCGTGAGCAACCCACCTTGGCCTCAGCCCAGCCTGTAACCTCAAACTCCTAGGCTCATGAAAATTTCCCATCATAGCCTACCAAAAAGCTAAGACTACAAGTACATGTCACTACACTTGGCTATTTCTTTTCCAATTCATTTTCTTAGAGACAGGTTCTCAATATGTTGCCCAGGCTGGTTGGTCTCAAGCGATCCTCCACCTTGGCCTCCCAAAGTGTTGGGATTACAGGCATGAGACACCATGCCAGGCATGACTTTTTCCAGGTAGCTAATACTTTCATATGTGCAACATTGAAAGGACATACAAAGGCTGGACTTAGTGGCTCACACCTGTAATCCCAGCACTTTGGGAGGCTGAGGCAGGTGGATCATCTGAGGTCAGGAGTTCGAGACCAGCCTGGCCAACATGGTGAAACCCTGTCTATACTAAAAATACAAAAATTAGCTGTGCATGGTAGTGTATGCCTGTAGTCCCAGCTGCTGGAAGGCTGAGGCAGGAGAATTGCTTGAACCCGGGAAGCGAAGATTGCAGTGAGCCCAGACTGCACCATTGCACTCCAACCTGGGCGACAGAAAGACTGTCTCAAAAAAGAAAGAAAAAGGCATACAAGCAAGTTACAGTGAAATGTAGTTATCTGTGACTGTTGTCCATCCAGCTCCCCTTTCCAGAAGCACCGTCCACCGTCCATTGTTTCTTAGGTTTATTGATTATATTGTTTGCAACAGTGCTGAACTTGTGTTTATCCCTATCCATTTCAGCTGGTCAGTTTTCCTCCTGGGCCCCTGAGGTTGGGGTCTTTTGTGTTTGGGATCTGTGGTCCTTCAGCCCTCACATTGGCCATATTTTCCAGATATATTGCCACTGGATGGGCTGGGCTCAGTGGCTCACACCTGTAATCCCAGCACTTTGTCAGGCCAAGGCAGACAGATTGCTTGAACTCAGAAGTTCAAGACTAGCCTGAGGAACATGGTGAAAACACATCTCTACAAAAAATATGGCCAGGCGTGGTGGCTCACACCTGTAATCCAAGCACTTTGGAGGCCAAGGCGGGCAAATCACCGGAGGGCGGAAGTTCAAGACCAGCCTGACCAATATGGTGAAACCCCGTCTCTAAAAAAAAAAAAAAATTGGGCCAGGCGAGGTGGCTCCTGCCTGTAATCCCAGCACTTTGGAAGGCCAAGGCAGGCGGATCATGAAGTCAGAAGTTTGAGACCAGCCTGGCCAATATGGTGAAACCCCGTCTCTATTAAAAATACAAAAATTAGCCAGGCATGGTGGTGCTTGCCTGTAGTCCCAGCTACTCGAGAGGCTGACGCAGGAGAATTGCTTTAGCCTGGGAGAGGGCGGTTGCAGTGAGCTGAGATCATGCCACTATAGTCCAGCCTGGGTTACAGAGCGAGACCCCGTCTCAAAAAAACAAAAACAAAAATTAGCAGGGCATGGTGGTGTGCACCTGTAGTCCTAGCAACTCAGGAGGCTGAGGTGGGAGGATGGCTCAAGCCAGCAGGTGGAGGTTGCAGTGAGCAGAGATTACATTATGCCACTGCACTCCAGCCTGGGTGGCAGAGTCAGACCCTGTCTCAAAATATACACATACATATATGTCATGTTGATTGCACTTTGGTAAGTCTGCCTCTGTGTACACAGACTCCATCCCATGACTGGACTCCCATCTGGCCAGCATGTTCTGTTCACAGGGAGGAAACAGAATCTGGAGCACGTGGCACTTTTGTTCTTCTTGATGACACTAGGTTTCAAAATCTTTTGAGAAATAACTTTCTTAAAAGGCTTTCCCTCTAGAGATTGAGATTTGGTGGTGCCAGGATGAATCCTGGGCACCTCTTGGGATTTTTTTTTTTTTTTTTTTGAGACAGAGTCTCACTGTGTTGCCCTGGCTGGAGTGGAGTGGTGAGATCTTGGCTCACTGAAACTGCCACCTCCCAGGTTCAAGTGATTCTTCTGCCTCAGCCTCCTGAATAGCTGGGATTACAGGCACATGCCACCATGCCTGGCTAATTTTTGTATTTTTAGTATACAAAATTTTATCATATTGGCCAGGCTGGTCTCAAACTCCTGCCCTCATGATCTGCCCGCCTCGGCCTCCCAAAGTGGACTTTTTTTTTTTTAAGAGTCAGGGTTCTTAAAAAAACCACTGTCACCCAGGGTAGAGTGCAGTGGAACAATCATAGTTCACTTCAGCTTCGAACTCCTGGACTCAAGTGATCCTCCCGCCTCAGCCTCTTGAGTAGCTGGGACTACAGGCAGGTGCTCACCATGCCCAGCTAATTTTTAGTTTCTGGGCTGTCCAGGACACAGGCTGTCCCTATGTCGCCCAGGCTGTTCTTGAACTGCTGGGATCAAGCGATTGTCCCACCTTGGCTTCACAAAGTGCTGGTATTACAGGTGTGAGCCACAAGTCCGGCAGTCTCTTGTGACTTTAAAACCTAACTGGTGCCTGTGCTGTGCACCTGGATTGAAAGCGCTGTTTCAGTGTCTCTGTTTTGCAAGTGAAGAAACTGAGGCTCAGAGAAGGGAAGACGGTTGCACCCACCTCACTAGACTTTAGACTTTTTTTTTTTTTTTGAGACGGAGTTTTGCTCTTGTTACCCAGGCTGGAGTGCAATGGCGCGATCTCAGCTCACCGCAACCTCTGCCTCCTGGGTTCAAGCAATTCTCCTGCCTCAGCCTCCCAAGTAGCTGGGACTACAGGCGTGCATCACTGTGCCCAGCTAATTTTTGTGTTTTTAATAGAGACGAGGTTTCACCATGTTGATCAGGATGGTCTCGATCTCTTGACCTCGTGATCCACCTGCCTCGGCCTCCCAAAGTGCTGGGATTATAGGCATGAGCCACCATGCCCGGCCTAGACTCTTTTTTTTTTTTTTTGAGACAAAGTCTTGCTCTGTTGCCTAGGCTGTAGTACAGTGGTGCAATCTCAGCTTCTGCAACCTCCGTCTCCTAGATTCAAGCAATTTTCCTGTCCTAGCCTCCTGAGTATCTGGGGTTACAGGGGCCTGCCACCATGCTTGGTTAATTTTTGTATTTTCAAGTAGAGATGGGGTTTCACCATGTTGGTCAGGCTGGTCTTGAACTCGTGACCTCAAGTGATCCACCTTCCTTAGCCTTCCAAAGTGCTGGGATTACAGGTGTGAGCCACCACACCCAGCCTCACTGGGCTTTTCATCCTGCTGTTCTCAGGGAGTTCAAGCTCCCAGTGACCAGTGACTGCACCTCTCAAATCTAAAATTCAGATGATTGTGTCCAGCGTGTAAGGGAAACCAGCCACATGGAGTAGAGGTCAAGAGGACCCAGGCTGAGTTGCTTGTTGACACCCACACAAAAGTACGGTTGTATGTACCCTCAACAGACAGCCTGAGGCTGGTTCACCCTGAGGCAGAGGACATCTGGTGCCTGCATGCGTACCTCCACATGGATGTGGATGTGTTCACAGGCCCAGTACTGCAAACACTGCGTACCAGGTAAGCACGCACAGGACTCCTGCTTTCTTTCCCTGTGCTCTCTCTTTAATAAAGGAGCATATTTCTTTCTTTCTTTTTTTTTTTTTTTTGTGACAGAGTCTCACTCTGTCACTCAGGCTGGAATGCAATGGCACAATCTTGGCTCACTGCAACCTCTGCCTCTTGGTTAAAGTGATTCTCCTGCCTCAGTCTCCTGAGTAGCAGGGATTACAGGTACCCACCATCACATCCAGCTAATTTTTTGTATTTTTAGTAGAGACGAGGTTTCTCCAGGTTGGCCAGGCTGGTCTCAAACTCCTGACCTCAGGAGATCTGCTCACCTCGGCCTCCCAAAGTGCTGGGATTACAGGTGTGAACCACCGCGCCGGCTCAAGGAGTACATTTCTTTTATCATCTTTTCCCCAGTAAATGGAGAGAACGCTTGTCAATCTCCCTTTTTGACGTGTGCAGATTCCTCCCTCTGGCTGTTCTGCTCACCATCTTTGGGCTTCAGTGGTTTCTTTGTGGTTCTTCTTAGGCGCTGGCTGCTTCTCCCGGTGTGCTGGTGGGGGAAGGCTGGGCCTTCCCTGCTGGTTCTCATGTTCTTATCCCTTAGCCTTGCATATGTTTGGCCCTTTCAGCCACTTGGCTCTTTATCTTGTCTCTGAGGATTGCACTGTGTCTCTGAAAGGAAGAGACTGTTACTTCATCCTGCACTGTCCTGTGCTCCCCCAACAGCTGCTGGTCTTATGCCAGGCTACTGATGGGCACTCAGTAAATGGAGAATAAAGGAAGAAATCCATGTTCAGTGGTGATTCAGCTCCTTATTCCCTTTCCACAGTGCTCAGCAGCCCCCTGCCATCCCATGCCTGGGAAGTTGTTCTTGCTGCTTTTAATGTTACCATTTCCTCCCTGAAAATCACTCCCAATGCTCCTACTCCATCCCTTTGGATCCTCAGAAGCCCTCTTCCCACTGAAATCTACTTTCTTAAATTATTCTTTTTCTTTTGGCTAGCTTCCCTCCCTTTCTCTGAAGTAGCTGGGGGACTTTTGCCAAGGCTATCATCCCACTTAAAATGTCAGCAAATAAGGCCGGGCACAGTGGCCCACGCCTGTAATCACAACACTTTGGGAGGCTGAGGCAGGTGGATCACTTGAGGTCAAGAGTTCAAGACTAACCTGGCCAACATGGTGAAACCCCATTTCAATTAAAAATGCAGAAAATTAGGTCAGTGTGGTAGCTGTTGCCTGTAGTCCCAGCTACTTGGGAGGCTGAGGCAGGAGAATCGCTTCAACCCGGGAGGTGGAGGTTGCAGTGAGCCACTGCACTCCAGCCTAGGCAACAGAGCAAGACTCTGTCTCAAACAAACAAATCCTCCAAAACAGCATCAGCAGATTCATCCATAAGCACTCAAGATGGAAGCCTCCTTAAAGACCACATCTCCGCCGCTTCCTGACAGGCCCTGGTTCTACCTTGCACACTACTAGTTGGTTCTTTCTACTACTGAGTCAAGAATCATGTCTGCTCAGAGCTGTCCCCAGAGGCTCCTGGTTCCTGTCTTGTGGCCGTATAGCAAATCTGTACCATCTCTTCCTTGCAGCCTCCCAGCCAGGGTAGATGGGTCCTGCCCTGCTCAGAGGAGGGAACACAAGCCTTGGGGTCAGACTCAGCTAAGTTCAAAGCCGTGCTTCTCCAGTGGTGTTGCTTTTTAAGTATGGCCTTCTATTTTGCCTGCTTCCTCATCTGTAAAGCAGGGTTCCTGTTACCTACTTTGTTGGGTCATCCAGAGAATGCAATAAAAGGGCATAAAGGCTTAACATTAGGCCTTCTACAAAACAGTCTCTATTCCTAGTGGTTGTTTATTCTCATCACCATCAAGCTCAGTATTCAACAGACCCTGTGCTAGTGAGTGCAAGGTGTGGAAAAAGAATGAGAAATACAGAGCAGCTTCTGCCGGCAGTGTTGCTGGACAGAGCTGCAGTCAGAATGAAGGTGAGCCACAAATGAGGTGGCAGAGACTGAACAGAAGCGTTAGCTGTGTGGCATGAACAGCAGGTGCCCACGTGATCAGGAAGGAGATGAGCCCAGTGAAGGATGAGTTCAGCTCTCCCACATGGTGGGGAGGCCCACATCTCCATCTCTGGCCCAGATCAGTCTCCTGAGCTCTACCCAGACCCCTATATTCCATTTCCAGTTGGAATAGCTCTAAGTCCTGTCCAAATCTCCTGTAGGGATGCTGACACAGGGCAGTCAGTCTGTCCTTGACTCTCTTTTAACTGTTTTTCTTTCTTTCTTTTCTTTTTTTTTTTTGAGACAGAGTTTCATTCTTGTTGCCCAGGCTGGAGTAAAATGGCTCATTGCAACCTCCATCACCCGGGTTCAAGTGATTCTACTGCCTTAGCCTCCTGAGTAGCTGGGATTATAGGTGTGTACTACCCACCTATTTTGTATTTTTAGGAGAGATGGGGTTTTACTCTGTTGGTCAGGCTGGTCTCGAACTCCTGACCTCAGGTGATCCACCCCGCCTCAGCTTTCCAAAGTTCTGGGATTACAGATGTGAGCCACTGCACGTGGCCTCTTTCTTTCTTTCTTTATTTTTTAAGAGATGGGGTTTCACCATATTGGTCAGGCTGTTCTCGAACTCCTCACCGCAGGTGATCCACCTGTCTCACTCAGCCTCTCAAAGTGCTAGGATTACAGGTGTGCACCACTGTGCCCAGCCCCTCCCCCCCCTTTTTTTTGAGGTGGGGTCTTGCTCTGTTGCCAGGCTGGAGTGCAGTGGTGCAATCTCGGTTCACTGCAACCTCTGCCTCCCAGGTTCAAGCGATTCTCTTGCCTCAGCCTCCCAAATAGCTGGGATTACAGGCATCTGCCACCATGCCCAGCTAATTTTTTCATTTTTACTAGAGACGGGGTTTCACCATGTTGGCCAGGGTGGTCTCTATCTCCTGACCTTCTGATCTACCCGCCTTGGCTTCCCAAAGTGCGGGGATTGCAGGCATGAGCCACTGTGCCAAAGCCTTTCCTTTCCCCCCACTTTTTTTTTTTGAGATGGAGTCTCACTCTGTTGCCTGCCCATGCTGGGGTACAGTGGCACAATCTCAGCTCACTGCAACCTCTGCCTCCCAGGTTCAAGTGCTTCTCATGCCTCAGCTTCCCAAGTAGCTGGGATTACACGTGCCCACCACCATGCCCGGCCAATTTTTGTATTTTTAGTAGAGACGGAGTTTCACCATGTTGGCCTAGCTGGTCTCAAACTCCTGCCCTTATGTGATCTGTCTGTCTTGGCCTCCCACAGTGCTGGGATTACAAGCATGAGCCATCATGCCCGGCCTCAACTCTGTTTTCTAACCAGCTGCTAAAACTTGTTAATGCTACCTCTGAAGTCGCTCTCAAATCTATTTCCCTCCAACCCTTCTACCTTTATGATGCCCTCATTACATCTTTTCCAAATGGCTGCTGCAGCCTTCAAGCTCATCTGCCAGTCTGCAGAGCAGGCCTTGTTTCCTCTGACATGTTGTAGTAAGATCTTTCTAAAATCCATTGTCTTACTTCTCTGCCTAAGTCCCTTTGCCAGCTCCCATCTCTCAGGACAGAGTGTGCAATCCTTGTTCCAGCTCACAGTAGTGAGGCTCCTCAGGGCCTGGGCTCTTCCTTCTGCTCCTGCCCCATCACTCACCATCCCCATTGCCTCCAGCCACACTGAGTCCCGTGTGGTTCTCAACATCAGCCACATTCTCTCGAATCTCTGCTTTTGGCACATGCTACTTCCTATGCCCAGAATAGGAATCCTTGTCAGATGCCTTCAGGATGCCACTCAGCTGTCATTTCCTTTGGGACATCTTCTTGGACACCTCTTCCTGCAGGGTGGACATCCCTCCTGCGTGCACCTGTGAGACCTGTCATGCTGTGTGGTGATGGTCCATCTCCCCTACTAGCCTTAGAGTTCCTGTGTAGATTGGGACCCAACCTAAGTTCATGCTGTACCTAGGACACGAACTGACACATAGTAGGAAGTTAATAAAAGCCAGATGATGTATGGATGGTTGGGAAGATGGGATCTGAGTAGGGTCCTGAAGTATGGCCTGAGACAGACGATAGGGTTTAGAAATGACCTCTTCTCAGCCGATCTGTGTGCATTGAACAAGTGATTTAACCCTCACTCTCACATTAAACCAACCTTTATTGAGGGTCTGCTGCGTGCCAGGGTGCTGGGTGCTGCAACAATGAGTCCGGCAGCCTGAGTCCCTGTCTTCCTGGAGCTCTCATTCAATTGGGGTACAGAGACATTTGCTGCAGGTAACAGTGAATGCTATGACTGAAGAGACAGCAGAGGCCAATAACCAGGGTTTGGGTGGGGTGGTTGGGGAGAGTTCTTGAAGGAGGTGATACAAAGGCCACATCCTAAAGGAAAAGGAGCTCACTTTGGGGGTGGGAGAAGGATGTGGGCACTGAAAGGTCAGGTGTGGCACAAGGGTGGTGAGCACGGCAGAGGGAAAGCAACTAGAAGTGAAGACAGTAAGTCAGGTGGAGCCAGATCACGGGCCTGGTGGATGGGGCTTGGCCTCTATTCAGAGGGCACTGGGAGGACGACGGACTCTATGCAAGGTGCCCTGGCTTACATTTGGAAATGGTGTTTGGGAGGCAGCATGGCCAAGAGTTGCTGATGGACTGGGAGGGGGATGTGTGGATGACTCCAGGTTTCTGGCTGGAGTGACAGGATGGATGCTGGTACCATTACCAAGACTGGGAAAGGTCAAGGGAAATCAGGAGTCTGGCTTTGGCCATGTGTAGTCTGGGATGCCTGTGAGTGTTCAAGTCGCCACGTAAGTGGTTAGATAGGAGGCTTTAGAGTTGGGAGGGGAGGCTCTGACCTTTGGTTTCCTCCTTTGCAAAAGGAAGCATCAGCAGAATTGATTTCACAGGGAGGGCTCCTCTAAGGACTGGATGAAATAAACCATGTAAGGCACTCAGCAGCAGCCTGTATGTGAAGATGACAGCTATTAACGTGTCAGTCCTTGGACACAGCAGGGGAAAGGAGTGGCAAAAGAAGCAGTTTAAAGATTAGTCTGAAACCTCCTGTACAGGAGAATCCCAGATGATGCATGTAGGTATAATCAACTCCTCATCCAAGTGTGAGCTGCACCAGCAACTTCCTTCCAAAGAGGACAGGATGGAAGCAGGTGTGTGGGACTTTACAGTGAGGGGCCCAGGTCAGCATCATCAGGGATGTCATGTTGACAGCATCTGCCCTTGACAGGCTGTGCTGAGAAGGGCATTCACCTTTGAAGCCTTCCTCCCCACAACCTAGAACCTCCATCCAGCCATGAGAAGAGCATCAGACGATCCCCAATTGAGGGACATTTTGCAAAACGCCTGACCAGTAATCCTCAGAACTGTAAAGGTCATCAAAAATAGAGATCAAAAGTCTGAGAAAATGTCATAAACCAAAGGAGCCTAAGAAGACAGAATGGGCCAGGGGCATTGGCCCATGCCTATAATCCTAGCACTTTGGGAGGTCATGAGAGGAGGACTGATAAATGAGGCCAGGAGTTCAAGACCCCACCTCTACCAAAAAACAAAACAAAGAGCCAGGTGTGGTGATACATGCCTATAGTCCCAGATAGGAGGCTGAGGTGGGAGGATGGCTTGAGCCCAGGAGTTTGAGGCTGCAGTGAGCTAAGATGGCACCACTGCACTCTAGCCTGGGCAAGAGAGCAAAACCTGGTCTCTAAAATCAACAACGAAAATGGAGAAAGGGCATTAGGGAAAAACTAAGGACATATATATAAACTAGGGACATTTATTTATTTATTTATTTTGAGATGGAGTCTTACTCTGTTGCCCAGGTTGGAGTGCAGTGGCAAGATCTCGGCTCACTGCGACCTCCGCCTCCTGGATTCAAGTGATTCTCCTGTTTCAGCCTATGTAGTAGCTGGGATTACAGGTGCCTGCCACCATGCCTGGCTAATTTTTGTATTTTTAGTAGAGATGAGGTTTCATCATGTTGGTCAGGCTGGTCTCGAACTCCTGACCTCAGATGATCTACCCACCTAAGCCTCCCGAAGTGCTGGGATTACAGGAATAAACCACCATGCCCGGCCAAAATAGGGACTAAATAATAATAAATAATTATTATTTAGTTAATAATCGAGCATCGTGATTGGTTCACTAGTTATGACAAATGTACATGAATGTAAGGGAAACTGCCAGGGTGGTATACATAGCCACTCTTTCTACTATCTTTGCAACTCTTCTGTAAACCTAAAGGTATGCTTCTTTTTTTGAGATGGAGTTTAGCTCGTTACCCAGGCTGGAGTGCAATGGCGCAATCTGGGCTCACTGCAACCTCCGCCTCCTGGGTTCAGGCAATTCTCCTGCCTCAGCCTCCTGAGTAGCTGGGATTACAGGCACGCGCCACCATACAGAAAATACAGCTAATTTTCTGTATTTTCAGTAGAGACGGGGTTTCACCATGTTGACCAGGATGGTCTCGATCTCTTGACCTTGTGATCCACCTGCCTCGGCCTCCCAAAGTGCTGGGATTACAGGCTTGAGCCACCGCGTCCGGCCAACCTAAAGGTATTCTAAAATAAAATAGTTTACTTAAAAATAAAACCAGTCTGGAGTTGGCATGCAGGTTAGAGGCTCTTAAACTTTCTGCACCAAAATGCCATCCCTTTGCCTTTAGTCTCTGGCGGATCTGCTCTGGTACAGCCTTAACTCCTGGTGACTGGGCAGAGCTGCTTCAAGTCAGCACCTTCCACCTGAGTTGCCTTGGGCTACAAACTGTTTCTAAACAACTGACTTCCTCTTCTTTGCTCGGGGTAGGAGTCTATCTTCTTACTGCTGAGCCTAGGAGAAAACCCAGGTGTCTTTTGGGCTAAGGCATCAGTAGCACATCTGGATTTGGGACCCCATTCCAGCAGCACGAGGAACTTCATTCTGTAAACAGATATTTATTGTGCACCTGTGATGGGCCAAACAGTCTTCTGGGTGCGAAGGATACAACCGGGAAAACCATTTCCTCTTTTCTTGGTGCTTGCATTCTTGTGGGAGAGACAAATGAATAATTAATGCCAAGGAGTGGGAAATATGAATAAGGAAAAAAAAAAAGGGTAGGAGAAGGGAAGGCCTCCTGAGGTGATATTTCAGCCAAGACCTGAATGAGGGAGCAAGCCATAAGGACCTGGAGGCATTAGCAGGATGGACAGGACCAACGATCTGTGCAAAGGCCATGAGGCTGAGTGGTGTCTGAGGAATGTCACAAGGCCAGTGAGGAGGGGAAGTGTAAGAGGAATTAAGATCCAGCAGCTCCTGGGAGGTCAGACTATGTGAGCCTCTTCACAGGGGAGGCTTCAGCTTACACACCTGGGTAGGTGGCACACTCTGCACAGTCTGGATCAGCAATCCAACACAATCTGCTTAACTCTGAAAAATCTCTTTGGCTACAAAGAGAACAGGCTACAGGGAAAAGAGGGTGGAAGCAGCGTTAATTAGAAGCCTATCCAGATAAGAGATAATTGCAGCAGAGGAAGGGGAGAGGCACTGTCAGGGTAAGCCAAGAGGACTTGCTGATGGATTGGATGGTGGGTACGAGAGAAACAGCAATTGAGGAGGATTCCCCAGTTTTCAGCCTCGGAACTTAAGAATGGAGTTTGCATTTACTAGGAGGGAAGTCTCTCAGGGGAGCACATTTCACGACATGGGACCAAGTGAGCTCCCTTCAGGGCTGAGTGTGTGGAGAGGAGGCTAGAGGCTGAACCCCTGAGTGCTCCAGGTTCGAGGCTGGGAAGCTGAGGACACTGTAGCAAGGGAGGCCAAGAAGGAGAGGCCAGGGAGGTGGGAGAGCAGAGAGCTGTCCACAGTGCAGGTGGAAAGACTCAACCAGGTGATTATTTGCATCCAATGCTACTGATAGGATTGGGCAACCCAGGCCATTGAAACCTTGGTAAGGAAACTTTTGGTAGGATTGTGAGGAAGAAACTGGAAGGGACTGGGCAGAAGTGAAGATGGGGAACACAAAGCTCTTTGGAAGATTTTTGCTGTAAGGGGAGCAGACAAGGCATGGCAGCTGAAGGGAACCTGGAAGTCTATGGTCTTTAATATTGAGCTTATCCACTTGGGATGCATGTAAGTGGGTGGGAAAGTCCCGGCAGAGGAGAGAACCCACAGTACAGGAGAGCGGGTGACTGTAGGAGCAAAGCCCTCAAGGAGTGGAGAGGGATGGGCCCAGGGATGTGAGCAGGGTGGGGGATTTATTGCCACAAAAGGGAAGACTGAGGATATGGTGTCAGACACAGACGAGCTGAGAGTTCACCCCTCACCCTCTCATAGGACTGGGCCAGAACCTAAGAGGGCCAGAAGCAGGGGTCCAAGTCTACCTGTCCCGCCACCTCCACTGAAGCTCCCTGGCCCCCAGCACTGCAGAGCCCCTGCCCTGCAGCCCTCGTCTGGCTGCGCTCTGGGAAGGCCTTATGGGCACTTCATCCTGCTCTGCAGCCACATTCACGACCTGGGTCTAGTTCACACTAGGTATGATTTGCTTCTCCTGCCTTCCCTCTCACCAACACCGCTATCGCCTCATTTAGGAGGCAGGCATGATTTTCATTTTCTAGGCTCAGAGAGTTTGAGCAGGGCCACACAGCTGGGTCCCAGACCCTCTCCACGTGAGCTCATCTGGGCACAGGGCTTGGGGAACCCAAGACTGAGGCCAGTGACAGCAGGCTCTGCATGGCCATCCACTCCTATGGGGGTGTACCTGCAGGGCAAGTATGCCAACTGCTGTCCCTTCTGCAAGGCTTCACCTCTGGGCACTTTTTTTTTTTTTTTTTTTGACGGTCTCATTCTGTCGCCCAGGCTGGAGTGTTGTGGTGCAATCTTGGCTCACTGCAGCCTCTGCCTTCCAGGTTCAAGTGATTCTTGTGCCTCAGCTTCTTGAGCAGCTGAGATTACAGGCACACACCACCATGCCCTGCTAATTTTTTGTAGTTTTTAGTAGAGACAGCGTTTCACCGAGTTGCCTAGGCTGGTCTCAAACTCTTGAGCTAGGCAATCCGCCTGCCTTGGCCTTCCCAAGTGCTAGGACTACAGGCGTGAGCCACCGTGCCCGGCCACCTCTGGCCACTTCTTCATGGCAGAGGCTGTGTGTGCAAGTCTGGCTTGGAAGCCTGTGGAAGAACCAGGTGCCCAGGGAACAGTGGCTACCACTGCTTTCCATCTCTAAGTCAAGGGCTGGCAGAAAAGGGAACTTCATAGATGGACCTCAGCCCCAGCCCCTCCACCTGCAGAGGCAAAGACCCCTCGGCTCAGACTTCACCAACCTGGAGCAGGGGAGAGAAGCTAAATTCTGACCTTTGATCAGAAGTGGGGAAGCCACTCTCAACATGTCACTGCCTTAGGTGAGATTTGGGGATGCTGGGTTCCTGGGGGAAAAAGGGCTTTTGGTGTGGAAATGGCATCTCTTTCCTGTTTCTGACCTCTGCCTGCCTCATGCCAGGTGAGACACCTTCATGCCTGTTTCCATGATTGAGAACATGGGAGTGTGCTTGTTTCTGCCCATGTTCCTGGCAGATATTCACCAGAGTTGGGCTGCACTTGTGGAGAAGGGGCTGGGCAGCTCCTGCAGCACAGTGAGGGGCACAGAAGCCCAAGGCAGTCGGTAAGAAATCACTAGTTTATTGAATGAAAACCCAACATCAACTCAGTCCCTCCCACCCCCATCTCCTCTCTCTGGCCCAGGAGACGCTCAGGACAGTAGGGCTGAGCCATGGGAAGGGCTGGAAGAGAGCGTGGGGGAGGTATGGAAGATGAGAAAAACACTTTCGAAATGAAGTTCTGTGCAAAAACTTCTGGGAAGGGGTGAGAGGACAAGAGAAAAGCTCCAGAGGGTCTGGCGGGGCACCGAGGGCTGGTCTGTGGCCCTGTGTCCTCAGCCACTCCTGAGAACACGAATGGTCAAGACTGAGGGGCTCAGACCCCAAGTTGGTGAGAGGGAAGGAAGGAGCCTGCTGGAGGGAAACCTGGTTGGGAGGATGGGTCTGGGCCCACGCTGGGGCCTAAGGAGAGGGAAGAACAGAGCAGGGAAAGGCAGACAAACTGACATGGTGGGAGGAGGGAGATGAACAGGAGATAAACGGGATGTCTGAGAGGCCACAGACAGTATGATGGTGGGGGTCTGCCTCCCATCTCTCCAATCCAGGCAGAGCTGTGCTGGGTGAGGGGCTGGGAGGCAGAGACAGGAGCATCATCAACAAGGGGAAGCCACAAAGACAGTGATTGGTGAACAGGGTGTATCACACGGTACCACTAAGAGACTGGTCGTGCAAAGAACCAGAGCAACAGGACACACACGACATCTCAGGGAGCTGGGGGTGGGGAGGAAGTCGTGCACGGGTGGTGGGGGGAGACTGGGAGGCCCCTCCATCCCAGAAACACTGTGTCACCACAGCAATGGGGCCCTAGAGGTGGGGGAGCTGCCTTCTGCCCCTGTAAGCTGTGGAGCCAGGGTCCCGTGGGCTCAGGGTGTTCCCTTATCCTCCCCTAGGAAGCTCTGGGGCAGGCAGAGAACCCCACAAGAGTGGAACATGGCCCTGGGTTCTGCTGGAAGCGGCAGAGTGAGGGGATCTGGCAACTGCACCTTAGAGGACACCCTGGTAGTTGGAGGGGTTGGGGGAGGACTGGGCTCTCCTGTTGGGGACCAGGATTCTAGCTTTCCCATTTCCAGAAAGGGAACTGAACTGATGCCACAAGGAAGAGGTTGGAAGCTGGGTGAAGGAAGGCCTGGAGGACTCAGTCCTGGGGACTATGGGCACCAGAAGGCAAAACCAACACACCCTGGGCCTGGAGCAGGCGGGAGAAAGGGAAAAGCGGGAACGAGGGGCTGCACAGGGGTGGGCTGAAGGGGAGGGGAGGCATCCCCGTGGCAGTGTCCTTCGGGACCTGGGCGAGTGAGAGGCAGACCCTGGTGCCAGGGTAAGGGATGCTGGGCCCGGGCCTGCTGGCCTCCCCCTGCCCGCAGGCGGTGAGGCTGGTGGCAGTGCCAGGAGGGAGAGTGGCTGGGAGACAGGGCCTCAGGTGGCCTTGCTGCCACTGAAGAGTCCCACTGGAAAGTGCTTGACATGGGTGGGCCACTGGGCTGCCAGCTGGAAGAACTTGATGTCACTCCACTCGACCCCATCGATGGACACTGGGGGTGACAGGGAGAGGAGGGGTGACCAGGCTGCTCAGGTCATCTCCCCAGGGCCTCTTGGGGAGGGCCATCATCTGCCTCCCTCTCCAGTCCCTTTCTCACCCTCCTCCCCGACCCTGCCCGCCCTCACACCTCTCAGCATGGTCTGCTGCTGCTTGGCTGAGCAGATGAGGCGGCTGATGCCTTCGATGACCTGGCTCTTAGAATCCACCTCCTTTTCTCGGGGTTTCTTGCTTAGGAAGATGGTGGGAACTGAAAAGCAAGCAGAGCCACCTCTATCTCAGCTCCTGGGGAAGCTGCCACCCCTCTCCTCCCCTGCTGCCTGTGTTGAGGGGAGGTGATCTGCAACCCCCTGCCTCCTCCCTGGCACCGGGCTGTGGGTCAGGATCTTCAGGTTCCTAACTTAGTCCCAGCACTGGGCTGGTGACTTTAGCTAAGGTCCCACTCCTCTCCCTGGGGCTTGATATCATCCCCTGTTCAGTGAAGACCTTGGTCAGAGGGTCTCTGAAGTCCTTTCCAGCTGTAATGTTCTAGGCAGCCTGTGGGGCAGGGACCTGCCTCCCTGTCAGATGCGTGCTCTGTGCAGGAGCCAATGTAGCATGAGTTTGTCCTCACGCTGCCCTGGGGATGCCGGGGAGTGTGTCCCATTCCACCCCCACTCCAGAACAGGAGCAGACAGGGAGGGCACTGCTGAGCAGGCAGCCACTCTTGGCAAGTCTCCATGCTGCAGGCTGTGGGTTTTGGCTGTGGGTCTGGCACAGCCCCCTGCCTAACTGCCCAGGGGAACTCTGCAGAGGGGAGGCACGCACAGAAATAGGCACAGCTGCTTTGGGAGCACCCGAAGGAGGCAGGGGCGGGTCACGCCAGTGCTGCAGGTGCACAGCCAGTCATGGGTCCCCAGTTGGCACCAATGGTGGAAGGCACTGCCTCAGCACTGGCCCAGCTGTGGGGGTTCCTGCCTCACTCCCGCACACAGAAGCCAGGCCAGCTCCAACTCTCCCTCCAGGTGCTTAAGCTACCCCTTCCATCTAGAATGAACTGCATGCCCCTTAATCCTTAAAACACAACCACGTCCTTTTGCTCATGAAGTGTCTTTGGAGTGGCCTCCAGGGATGGATGTAAGTGCTCTGCTCCTGCGTCACAGGGACCTGGGGCTATGGTACAGAGAGGCCCCTTCCTGTCTGTAGTCCATCCCGGACAGCAGTGGCCAGAAAGGACCCCTTCATTACACAGTGGCAGCTGCCTCAGCCCCTAAGGTGCTGGAGTTCAGCAGAGAGTGACCAAGTGACTCTCTGCAGCCTTGGTTTCCTGCATGATAGAAGGAACGGCCTTGTCCCTCAAGGTGAGGTGGGACTGCCCCCTCTGTACCCCAGGCCACACAAGGGGATGCTTCATCTTCATCCCAAATCTCCCCAAAACAGACTTTTTCCTGGGCCCTGAGAGAGGAGATGGGAGGCCTGGTGGCCTCTGGCTTTGAGGGCACTTACCTTTCTTGTTCTTTTCTTTGGTGACCACAGTCATGGCCATGGTGCCAGAAAGCTGGGCCTCCCCACTATGGGGCAGGCGGGATACCTGCACTGAGCGGAAGACACTCTTGAGGGTGTTCTTTGAGCTGGCGTCCCTCTTGTCGCCTTCCCTCCTCCGCTCCCCGGGGTGGCCCAGCCAGTAGTCCACCTGGAGGCCAATCACGTCCCCATATGGGCTATTAGGGCTCCTGAGGAAAGGAAACAAAGAGGAGAGGTCCGCTCTGCTGTCAGCTCCCAATTACATGGGCCAGATGGGGTGGGAGCCATGGCAGCCCCTGGGAGGACGGGCTGAGACAGGCCGCGGCTCTGTTCCCTCCAGCCACACAGAGCAGCTTAAGTAGGAGAGGTGAATCAGGCTGATTTGAGAACAAAGCCGGGGAGAAATAAAGGCCCAAATCTCATGGAAGGGAAACCAAATAAAAGCCTCACAGGATGATGAGGGAAGCAGAGAAGGAAGCTTTATGAAGGAAAAGTGTTTGTGTACGTAAGTTCATATGTGTACCCACAAATACACACATAATGTGCGCGCGTGTGACACACACACACACACACACACACACACACCCTGCCCAGCAGGCAAAGCCTGGGCCAAACAGCCTTGGGCTGGAGAGAGCACCTGGGCCGGGCAGAAGCCCTGCAGGCAGCTCCAGTGCAGCCTCAGGACAGCAGCTGGTGCCGGCCCAACCTGTGGCTTTCTCCTTTTCATGGCACTCAACTCAGTGATAATTTTAGCTCCTGGGAAAAGGGCTGATGTGTCTTGAAAGGAGGCATCAGATACAATAGGTACACAGGCTAGGAAAGTCATCTGATTTTTCTCTTTCTGCCTCATTTCAGAGATTCCATTAAAAAACAAGATTAACTTGGAAGGGGAAGAAGGTAGAGGGAAGGGTTGGTACCAAGGCTCCCTAAATCCATGCTGGACAAAAACCCTTCTGCTGTGGGGTGAGATGAGAGAAAATGCCTCCAGGAAGCTGAGGTCCGCGGGGCAGAACTTGACCTCCTTTCGTCCACTGTCCCCTCCAGAAGAGGGAAGGCACCCCGAGAAACAGAGGGTGAGTAAGACTAGGGACTGAGATTCTAGCTCTGGGGCAGCCCTCGTGCCATACAACACCTCATTGGCACTTCAGGGGAAGCCACCGGCCAGTGTCACCCTTGCTCTTGCTACAAGGAAAGGGAAGAGGTGAAGGTGGGAGGCGGCGACATGGGGGAAGGGAAGGAAGGCTGCTCTCTCCCAGTGCTGACCATGCCTGCTCTCTTCTCACTTCAGCCTCTTCTTGTCAGAAGCCCACTCTCCAGCTTCCCTCTGCTCCTGCTCCTGGACCTTTGATCTCAACTTTAGATACTTGAGATCCTAAAGACATGGCCACCTCCTGTATCACCACTTCCAGCGGTCTGAGATTCAGCCTGAACCCGGGCTCAGGCACTCGCTCCCACTCCCGATCCAGCTCCAGCACCTCAGCAGGGCCACCTCACTGTGCCAGGTGCTGACACGCATGTTCCTTTTTTCTTCTTTTTTAGAGACATGGATTGCTTCCTTTAGAGAGGCCCTCTTACTCTCACCAAAGAAGACAATCCACGTCTCTAAAAAAGAAAAAGGGAGGACACTAAAAGGGACAGCCCAATCCACGTCACTGTGTGGCCCAGGCCAAGCTTTGAACTCCTGGGCTCAAGTGATCCTCCTGCCTTGGCCTCTGGAGTGACCGGGACTACAGGCTGAGCCAGCACACCCAGTTTTCATGTTCTTACGTAACCTGCTTCACAGCTCTGCAAGGCGGCCACTTCACCTCTCTTCGTTAGATGAAACTGAAGTTCAATAACTTGTCCAAGCTAAGCCAGTGGACAGAAGATAGAGCCATTCAAACCCTCATGCGTTTTATTTCCCAAGTGCCATGCTCTCTCTACCACCAGGGAGGTCCCATAAAAAGACACTTGCACAGCACTTTACAGTCTACAGGCCTCTGTGCTAACATGGTCTCATTCAATCCAATAAAGTGAAACAGGCCAGAAAGTGTCCTCCTGTAGCCAGGCTGGATGGTGACGTCTCTGAATTCTAACTTTAGTGTTTCAGGGCTTTTCTAGAGAGACAGGGTCTTACTGTCACACAGGCTGGAGTACAGTGGTGTGATTATGGCTCACTGCAGCCTCAAACTCCTGGGCTCAAGCGATCCTCTCACCTCAGCCTCGAGCAGCTGAGACCACAGATGTGTACCACCATGCCAAGCTTCCTGTGGCTGCCTTCTAAGCCCGTGTGCCTGGAATCAGATGGGTGGGCCTGATGGAGGGCATGGCAGGACAGGCAGGTATGGACAGAAGCCTTACCCCACAATGGCCAGGGCGCTGCTCATGGACGGGGAGGAGGGTGGGGTGGCGGTGGCATCTCGGCTCAGGCCTGAGCTGGAGGGTGGTGATGTGGAGGGCACAGTAAGGCTGACCACAGGAGAATCGTCCACATCACCTGTCAGGGGAAAAAAGACAAACAAAGTTGGCCAGAGGAAGCTATTCCTGACTTGGTGGTGGCAAGGAGCCAGGGTTCCTCCCTCAACACGGTGGCCTGCTTTCCTCCTTCGGCCCCAGGCTCCTCCCCACCTCCTTCAACCACCACTGCAGTGGGGGAGTGAGGGTGCCCACAGGCTTCCTGCTCAAGCTCTGACTTCCCTCAGGACATTCAGAGCCTTAACTTCAGGCCTGCTGGGCTAGAAAGAAGACAGGGAGGTCACCACCTTTACTCCACAGAGCAAGGGAGCCCCAGGCTCACCTGCTGTGGAGGGAGAATCTTCAACCAGACCCACCTTCACCACCTGCAAGGAGAGAAGAGACACTCATTTGATCCTCCTGTCAAGGCAGGCATGTTCTGATCCAACCAGAATCACTGCACATTATTTTATCGTGAACTTTAATATCTTTGCAAATCTGGGCCGGGCACGGTGGCTCACGTCTGTAATCCCAGCACTTCGGGAGGCTGAGGCAGGCGGATCACCTGAGGTCAGGAGTTCAAGACCAGCCTGGGAAACATGGTTAAACCCTGTCTCATTAGCTGGGCATGGTGGCACGTGCCTGTAATCCCAGCTACTCGGGAGGCTGAGGCAGGAGAATTACTTGAACCCGGGAGGTGAAGGTTGCAGTGAGCTGAGATCGCACCACTGCACTCCAGCCCAGGTGACAGAGCGACAATCCATCTTTAAATAAATAAATAAGTAAATAAAATTTGGAGCAGCCCAGCTGTGGGAGGAAAACAAAACAAAACACAGTTGCAACAATGAGGTGGGGTATGTGAGACTTCACAGTCTTCTCTGGGGATAAAGGGCTGAAGGCAGGAACTACTGCAATGTCCTGATTACGTTTCTCTAAGCTCCCATGGGCAGAGGGCCTAGGAAGATGGCTCCATCTCTGCCAGGTGGGAGTATCTGCAAGGCCAAGTGGACACACTAAGGTGTGGAGACCAGCACTCTCCTCTCTGGTCTTCCTGGAGTCTGGAGGAGTACTGAATGGGGGTGGGGGGATTCCTTAAGAATTTTCAATTCTCCATAGAGAATTCTAGAAAGGACAGCCTGGGCCCTCCAGTGGCTAGAAAAGAACACAGCCACGGATTAGGTGAGCATCCAGGCTCGGGTCTAAAGTGACAGGTGAAGTACTGGGCCCTATCTCCGAGGCCCAGTCCCAGGCAAAGGAGCATCTGGGCTAGAGTCCAGAGGGCTAGAGTCTGGAGGAGTGAAGTCTACCACACAGGCCTGAAGCTGGTTGCCTTGAGGCTGCTGTGACTGCAAGGCTGTGTTCACTGAGGTCTGTCCTGATTCTCTATGAGCCCTTATTTTGATTCCCAAAGAGGAACAAATTGCCACTCTGAGGTTTCCCGGACACAAGTCCCCTTTTCTCCTTGTTTCCCTGGCATTTGGTGAGGTTGCTAGCTCTTTTGGTTTTTAATTTTAAAAAAATTTGTTATTTCTCTCTCTCTCTCAGTTGCAAGGCCTGAGTGAGAAGTGACTCACAGCTCTATGAAGATGTGTCAAACAGCCAGCCATGACTACTGGCCATGGTCCTGGGGCCTATAATGTGGCTATGGGAGCAGCCCAAGGGCTAACCAGGAACTGGCTGGATTGCAGGACAGGAGGCTCTGCACGGCATGAGAAGGGGCTGCTGGATTTTCCCAGCTCAGGTATCTCGAGATCACTTAAGACATTCACATCTTGGATGTGATGTGCAGAGAGAAGGGAGAGGAGGCAGCTAGGTCTCTTCATCTGCATGAGCCGTGAGCCTGTAATCCCAGCACTTTGGTAGGCTGAGGCAGGCAGATCTCTTGAGTCCAAGAGTTTGAGACCAGCCTGGGCACCATGGCAAAACGCCATCTCAGCAAAAAAATACAAAAATTAGCCAGGCGTGGTAGTGTGTACCTGTGGTCCCAGCTATTCAGGAGGTTGAGGCAGGAGGATTACCTGAACCTGGGAGGTAGAGGTTGCAGTGACCTGAGATCATGCCACTGCACTCCAGCCTTGGTGACAAGAGTGAGACTCCATCTCAAAAAAAATAAACAAATAAAAAAAAAAACAGGACCAGGCAAGGTGGCTCATGCCTGTAAGCCCAGCACTTTGGGAGGCTGAGGCAGGCAGACTGCCTGAGGTCAGGAGTTGAGACCAGCCTGACCAACATGGTGAAACCCCATCTTTACTAAAAATACAAAAATTAGCCAGGCATGGTGGTGTGTGCCTGTAATCCCAGCTACTCGGGAGGCTGAGGCAGGAGAATTGCTTGAACCCTGGAGGTGGAGATTGCAGTAAGCCGAGATTGTGCCACTGCACTCCAGCCTGGGCTACAGAGCAAGATTCCGCCTCAAAACCAACCAACCAACCAACCAACCAACCAACCAACCAACCAACCAAATGATGCAAGCTGGTTTGGAAGGGAAATGCAAAGCTCTTATAAGTAGAAATCGAAGTTTTCAGTCCTGTTTTGGTGATGTGCTCTAGCCCCTGGCAGGGCTGCACAGTTCCCTCTGGGCCCCTCCCTAGGTCAGGCAGCACCTGAGGCCCAACTGCTGCTGAATGAACAGATGGCTGGCAGCACACCTGCCATCAGAGACATCCACAGGGTTCTTCCTTGACTTTCAAAGTTCACTAGCATAGAGATTTCTCCTCAACTAAATAGAAAAGGAAAGAAGAAAGCCCTCCTCTTAGTGGTCTATCCAACCATGAAATCTGTTTTCAGACTTTTCTGCAGAATGCCTCCTTCCACTGCTGCCGAGGCAGCTCCTTACCCCTGAGCCACGCTCTGGACATCACTCCCCAGGCAAAGGGACCAAGGTCAGGGACTGGTGTAAAAAGGAGACATGCGTGATGGACCCAGGGACAGTGATTTGGAAAAGGCAGACACTAAAAGGGGCAGCCCAATCCACGTCCTGGCCCAGGGTTTCTCCACCTCCACACTACTGACACTTAGGGCCGAGCCATTCTCTGCTGCGGGACCTCCTGTGCACTGGAGGATGATAGGCGGCATCCCTGGCGTCTACCCACCGGGTGCCCCCAGTATGACAACCAAACATGTCTCCAGACACTGCCAGGTAGGCCCTGGGGGCAAAATCTCCAGTGTCTGGAGAACACTGTTTTAGATGAATCTTTTGTTTTCCTGTGTAAGGGGCCCAGGAAGACCAGAAGAACAGGTGGGGTGCCAAGCAGAGGGAGTCAGTACTCACGCCAATGAAGGGAATAAACTTCTGATAGGAGTCTTCATCGGGGCTGTTGGGAGACACAGGAGAGCTTCACAGTTAGCAGGAGAGACGGGAGGAGTGCTGGGAATGGGCCTTTCCTATCTCACTGTGGCTGCAGCAGAGTCCAGGATGCTGCACTGCCTGTGCCCATCACATTCTGGGCAGCATTGGGAGGGTCTGGGACTTGCTGTGCATGTGGAGCTCACAAAATGGGGCAAATGTCCTGATTATGTGAACTACGCTCCCTGCTTCCCATGTCTGAGTTCCAGCTACAAGGATGGGCTGCTTCATACTGAAGGGCAGGAAAGGAAACTGAATAACTCAGGATCCTATGGGTGGGAGGCCCGGGGCAAGGAAGGAGTGCTGGGGAGGTGGCGGTAAAGTCACTCACATCCTTTCAGGTTCCTATGAAGGAACGTAGCGTGTGGAGAAGGAAAATGTGAAAAAGCAAGGAAGACCCAAGATTACTCTTACCCACCCCACTTAGTTTTAAGAAATTCCTCAAAGTCAAACTTACAACTTATGCCGGCAGGTCAGCATGGCTTCGGCCACAGGAAGCTGGTGAGTTGTGGCCGCCCCGTTGACATACTGCATCACCCGCCCCACCACGTCCAGTTGCTCTGCAGAAAAGCCAAGAGATCACTACGTGCCCACTGACTTCAGCCGGCAAACCTGCAGACCCTCTCAGAGAGGGCTTCCTTCCTGAGACCTGTCAGACTCTAGGAGTTGAGTGAGGGATGGGGCTCTATGGTCCTTCTGTTTTGAAGGATTCATAAGCCCAAGGATGGTCTTAACCATAACCCCTTCCAATCTTTGCAGTTCCTCGAAGCCCTGCTCTTTCTTGGGCCACTCACACCCTTCTTCTCATGTCCACTTGCTCCTACCTGTCCCTGCACATACCCATCTGGTGGCAGGAGCCTCGTCCCATGGACCTTTGCCATTACCTCCTTCTCAGCTGTGCCAGGTCCTCACTACTTCTTAGCCTGGAAAACCTCAACCTCCTTCTGATCCCTGCCACCTTTATTTTTTTATTTTATTTTTGAGACAGAGTCTCACTCTGCCACCCAGGCTGGAGTGCAGTGGCATGATCACACTACTTCCGGTCTCAAGTAGTTCTCCCGCCTCAGCCTCCCACGTAGCTGGGACTACTAGGGAGGGCGCATGCCACCATGCCCAGCTAATTTTTGTATTTCTGTAGAAACGTGGTCTTGCTATGTTGTCCAGGCTGGTCTTGAATTCCTGGGCTCAAGTGAAACACCCACTTTGGCCTCCGAAAGTGTTGGGATTACAGGCATGAGCCACTGTGCCCTTGACCCCTGCCACCTTTATTTGATATTCAAGAAAGCACCTGGTTGGTGTGGTGTTATTCATTTATTCAGTTAGTGCTTAGTAGCTATTCTCTGCTCCTTGTATTTCATCTCTACAAGAGATGCCCTGTCCACCACGCCAGCATGGCCCTGGTTCCTTCCAGACGAACAGGAGCAGAGCAAATAGCAGAGGCTGAAAACAGGCAGAGTGGAAGGGCTGTGCACAGTGAGCCTCTGCTTAATAAACACTTATGGAAAAATGAACGGGCAGAAGGATCTGGAAGGTGAGAGCTGCAGTGAGAAAAGCAGCATAAGCCCAG